AATCGAAACTGAGAGGTTTTCCCAGTTATTCGGGGGCAACAAGTTCAAGCTGTCAACTTGCCATTTCTAGAATACAATAGAACTTGACGCTTGGTTTCCAAACATAATAAATTGCATTCAACACCATCCTCAGCCAGCCGCAAACTATTTATCGTTTAGGTCAATTGCCACCTTTCAAGGATGTGCCCAAAATAGCTGCAAGCTGAGGTGAACCGACGGGGAGGCGAACGCCTTCGACAAGTAAATTGAGTGCTCGAGAGCTGCGCCACAGCCCAAGACTTGCAACTTTAATGGGCCATAGAGGGCCCAGGAAAATTATTGATTTGGGTCGAGCGGAAAGTAGGCCACTTCCTGGCGGGCAGCACAAATGAATGCTAAACTTGCCACTTGGCCGCAGAATGCACTTTCTGTGCACTCTAGTTGGCTTAATTATGACAAACTGGAGACAATTAGACCCCTTTGTTGCCGGCCATTTGTCAGAGGGCTGGGGTTAGCCACCCACCCTTGGCTGGGGAAAACCAAATCCGACCTTGTCCACCTCCTCGGGGCAGCCGATAAATAAGAGTCCGCCGAAAACTAACGAGCGATACATAAATAACCCAGAAAAAAAACCGAGAAAGCAGTTGGGGAACTGAGGGACAAGAGTCAACTGCATTAAATGCCAACTGCACGGTGAGAAATGAGCCAAAGTGGAAAGAGGACAGGGCAAAAATGTAAAAAAGTAATAGTAAAAGCCAGTGACTGCCAGTGAAGTTAATTACAAATGTCCAATTAGGAAACTGACAAGGCCGGGGCGTCCAGGAACGGACAGGAAGTACGTCTTTGATGCAATTAAAAACGCATCTGCCGCAGAAGCCGAACAAAACTGCACACTAATCGCAGATACCAGGCGAAAATTGCATAATTGCGGCCGAGGCGGCCACCTCCCTACTAAAACCCTAGTCCAACCCTATTCCAACCCTATTTCACCCCCTTTTCAAATGGACCGCAGCATGCGGCCGAGGCATAAAAAAGGGTACAAGAACGCTCCAGCTGCTGCGGCCAAAACTTTTCGCCTGATAATAGGAAATTCACAATGCGCTCGAAGTATGCTACACATTTTCGGTATTTTGCGGCCCACTGCAAAAGCTCCTCGTCGCCTATTCTCTTTGTGATTTACATAGAACTTGGGCAATAAAATACAATTTATGGTAATTTATCTAGCTTAGTCGTAAGCCCCCTCGTCAATGGCACAAATTTTTTAATTAATAAATAAATGTTGCGGAAATTATTTCGCAGTTAGGCGGCCGCACGTCGAGGGGGTGCATGGGTATTGTGTGATATTCTGTACGTATATAATTACGCGATTTGCCAGGGATTAAGAGGGGCCTGACAAATGCTGGGCCTGCTTTAGCAAGGACGCATTAATGAGACGCCCGACGGTGAGGCACTGAGGCGAGGCATCCACATAAAGAGCCAGGATACCACTTATCCCTCAAAGCACAAACACACATTTAGAAATACAGTCGGGCTTCCCAAGTCATTAATATCCCGTAACTTGGGAAAAAAATTAAATGGCTATGGCATTAAACGAATAAAAAGTTCTGAAATTGTATTTAACAGTAACCTAATGCTGAGGGGTAATTTATGTAAATTAATTAAATGGTTAAAATATTAAAAAATATTAAATATATTATTAAAATATAATATTAATATTATATTATTATATAATATTAAAATATTAAAATAATATTGCATGGGTTTAATATTTTATTAGGGCAAATTATATATTGTAATAAAAGCTTTTAAAGATTTTTCAATAGGGATAATGTTTAAATATTCCAGAAAATAACTTTAAATAACCACAATGTACAAAAAAGTCCAAGGTCTCAGAAAATAGAGTTATATTTAGATTTTAAAATCCAGGGTTTAGTTCAGCCTTTAGAGACTTTACTGTGTACGCCTAATATTGGGCCAATGATTCTTCCTGTCACTTACGCTTCAACGAAGCGTGAAAACGGATTCCTCTCGGGGATAGATTGCCCCTAATCCCCCTCCCCTTCCCCTGTTGATTATGATTGTGATTTGGAGCCTGGCATTAAACGAGCTCGGCCACAAATGGCCAGAAGGTGTGGGACGCGCTCACGTTCAAATTGGGTGCATAAATATTTCCCTTTCCCCGGGTCCTTTGCCTAATTGGCGCGAGGATTGCGTTGGCATTCGCGATTCATTGTGTCCGCCGGCTACTTGTCAGCTACAAATTGCATTTCGAATTCAGCTGCCCGGCTTAAGTGAAATCAAGACAAAAGCTGGCGGAACTCGAATGCAATTGTTTCCAGAGTGGCTCATGAGAAATGTTGCAATCGGCCCTCGGGCGCTGCTTTGCACACTTCTCAAGTGGACAAGGTGGGTGTGGATAGGGATGTGGGCGTGGGTCTGGTTGGGATTGGGTTAGCTTAGGAATGGGGTGGGATCTAAAAGGATTACGGGCGGGTGGCGCAGCGAGAATCCATTAGTAGCGTATACGTTTGTTGATTCCGCCAAAGACCGTGGCTTGCGTTCGCGCCTTTTACCGACAACGAGGTGCAACTGGGTGAACTCTAACCCGGTGGGTGGGTTAGTGGGCGGTCGGACTCCCAGTTGGCCGTATCATTCGGTCTGTTGGTACTTTGCCAGCAGAATAATAGATTGACTTAAGCTTTGTGTGGAATTCAAATAGTTTGTTAGTCCGTTTGCAGCTACGTTTTCCCTTTTTATCCTTCGAGTAATTACAGGATAACGCCATGTCCGCTGTCTCTGTATCTTTTGAATATTTTAGCTTGGGTGTCAGGTGGTATCAGTCGCATTTCAAGGTTGAAACTGAACTTTAAATCCTCGATTTATTACGAGTACATAACTCTACAGAGTAGCTCAATAAATCACAGCTTTAAAGCCTGCTTTATATTCCTCGATTAAAGGCTTTCAGTTAAACACATTAATAGTCTACTTAATTACGTTGTCTAAGGGAAACTTTAGATTGTTTACCATACTCGTAAAAGCCTGACGCGCTGAATCGTGACCACTCCACATGACGGGAAAATCAGGGGAAATCATCCGATCAACGGGATTTATGGAGCCGCAACACGAGTTGCTATAGGTTAATAATAGTAATTCTCCCCTAATACACTAATCGGCCTAATGTCATGTTAAATTCTTATCAGCACTTGAATTACGAGGTCATTATCGGCGAATGAGTTGTAGGAACAGATGAGAGTTCCGCGAAATATTCGCATAGCCCAGTGACAAAGTACAATACTGCGATAAGTCTGGAATCCAAGCATTTCTGCACTGACAAAACAATTAACTTTAAAACTATTTAAAATTTAACCATTTCTGAAAGAAGTTTTTTTGGAGACAAAATTTTAATGAAAAGAAAAATAGTACCAAAATATGAAGGACCTTTTCAGTTTTGTTTAATTCTTTTACATTATATGTTATCGTTAAAACTAAAGAAATACTTGTATCAATATCTTTAATCGCTTTCACGAATTTTTGGAAATGATTTCATAATAAGGCTTTGGAACGAAAATTTCCCTTTAAAAATGAAATGAATTAATCTTTTCCTTATGAATCTAAAACATGACAGGGTTAATTCTATAAAAGTAAAATATTTATAAAATTTATAAAAATAAATTAAAGTAGTAGGGATTTTTCCGCCAGTGCATGGCCCACTTGAAACAAACGAAGCACTTTCCCCCCAACCCTCGCGGAGAATCTCGGACCACCGTCTGGCCGTGTCTGTGCTGATATTTGTATTATAAATAATAAAACATAATAATTTGCCTTAATCGAATAATGACCCCCGGCCACTGCGATGGCGTCGCCACCACGCTGCGGGCACCGTCGGATCCGCCAAATCCGTCGTCGTCTGGAATACGAAACCAGACCGGAGAGCCCGACCAGAGCCCCACCAGGGAAGTGGAAGTTCCCGCAGGCAAATTATTCAATAAAAGCCACAAAAACAGCGAAATGAAAAATATGAACAGACCTGTCGGGCAAAAAGAGTGGGGGGAATAGAGGAGGGAAGCCAGAAATACACGTGCTACGGTCGGTAAAAAATAAAAGGGGAGCACAACGGAGGAGCGGGATGGGCTAAACAAATAACAGAAAATTTAAAACGGATTGCAAATGCAATTGTGTCCCAAGTACAGGGGGACAGTGGTAAGGTGAACTAAATAATCGCTTCATTTAGAATGCGCGAATAACTAATTAGGCACAGTTAAGTTTCCGTAAAACGACGCTTTACTACATTTGTACGCCCTAATATACCTTAGTATTTTATATGGATAACAATGAATTCTTTTTTAAATTCTTTAGTTAAAAAAAGGGACATTCGGTAACATAAAGTATCAAAATAATTTTAGAATAACGTTTGAATAATTTACAAAAAAAACTTTTCTTTTGAATTTACCTTTTTTGAAAATTCAGATTTGAATTTCAGAAAATCAAATGAATATTTCTGTCTTTTTTGACATAATAATTTTGAGTTCAAGTAAGATCGAGTTTTAAAGCCTGGTTCAATCCAGCAGGTGATTCCTGTACGCTGATTCACGACAGCTGGATTTGGTTTTGGAAGCGATACCAGAAATGAGTGTCCGTGCGCTTGGCACAGACGTACGTGAATCCCCACAGTGCCTGCCAAAAGTCGGTCGACCGCTCGACCTAAAATTTATAACTCGAGACCTGGCAAACGTGTTTAAATATTTGTCACTCGATTCGGCGATAATGTGAAAGGAAAACAATAATAAACGCTGACTGCCAAATGCCCTAAAATCGAGGCGAGGTACTTGTAAATTAGTCAAACACCTGTCAGAGGCTCTCAAAATAGTTCGTAATCATTTATCACAGATGTCTTTAATCGTAGGGCACTCGAAGTGAGGGTATTTGGTTTACTTTGTTGTCATCGCCACAACGAAAAATCAGCTGTTTGCCGCAATAACAAGTGAACGAGCCGAAAGCGTTTTGCAAATCAACATTGCTGTTTATGACGGAGAGTTGAGTTGAGCGCTTTTCGAAATCAGTTTCAGTACCACTTTGTCCGTTCGCGATTGCGTGCTCCGTAGGTCGTCTTCTCTCCGGTGGCTCAGCAGCACCACGGTACCTCAGCACCACATAAGAACCACCTTAATCAGCTGTTCGGAGCCCACTAACTACTTACTCCGTGCTCGGTGGTTGCCGACGAAGAACGTGCCAAGACAGAGTGCCAAAGTGGGTGAAGAGCGACAGTGGCGGGTTCAAAAAAGCGAGGTCCGACCCACCGTAAACCGAAAACTGCGAGTATTGGCCCCGTGTAAATCGCCATCAAAAATGTACGTGCGTGTTATTGGCGCAGGTGGGCGGTTGAAAGTCAATTTCCGATGTCAGCCAGTTCGGGAAGTTATTTACGTTGGTTCGGAACCCCTGCATATGTAACTGCACTGGGGAAAACAAACAAAGAAAACCAAAGTTTTGAATTCACAAACGAAGTGTTTTAAAAATACACGGAAGATCTGAAAATAAGACCTCCATCAAGTGGCTATTTTTGAAATGTGTCGAAATCTTCTTTAAGAACTGACAAGATCAGTGTGAACTCAACAGCTAGTGATATTATAAAAAATTGAAGAGAGGACAAAAATGTATTACTAAATTAAAAATGGTTCGAAAAACAAATTCTTCTTCTAAAAATGTGGATAAAGAAATAATCATTGCCTGACAAAACTTTTAAATGATCATCCTCTTTTGAATGCATTGTTTCATATCAAAAGTTCAATTACTTAAAATTCAGTTTAAATTAAATTGCTGTGATCAAATCAAACACCGCAAGCTCTCATATTATTTAAAGTTTTGCATCTCTACGGTTTCTTTTTGTTTTTAACAATAGATTTCCCTTCGTGTAGCCGGTGTCTAGAACCCGTCTTATCGCAATGGCACGCTCATCGACCACAGGCAATATAGCTGTTCACTCCATTTACGAGTATTTATCTTGACGAAGACCAACCTCCCGCCGATTGTGTTGGGCAAGCAGCAACTATGACGCTAATCTTGAGTGTTCGAAAGAAATACAAACAATACGAATTCTTGCGATTCATGGCGATCCGAAATGCTTGGGAAGAATCCACTCTATCGCGAGGGTCTTTGAAAGTCGGCAATTATCTCTGCTCGACAGGCGGCCTCCGATTGTGCGAAACTGAATCTCAATTGGGGAATCTCCCTGGGCTTGAAAACCTAATGCGGCAAATTGATTTAAATGCGGTGATTAACCATTTGAAATTCAATTGGTTGGCATTTGTTATCAGCACTGAATGAGCGATCTAATTAGCCGATATGGAAATGAGGAAAAACTGTGTGCACACGACATGTCTGTCTCTTTGCGAAAGCAAAAAACATTTTCATCTCGTTGCAACTAATGACATTAAGCCAATTGCGAAAATGCACGTGCCAAATGAGGCGACGAAAACTATCAGCGAAAATAAAACACCGAAATAGTGACCCAAATGCAAATCGGAATCCGAACCGGAATCCGGCATTCCAATTTCCAATCCCAATCCACTCAATTTATTTGGCGGTGCATTCAGTCAAAGTCAGTCAACTGTCGCTGATTGCATTTCGGCAAAGCCCCAAGCCAAAGCTAAAGCCAAAGCTGAGTGCTGAAGCTACAGAAATCTAAAAATCCGGATTCCAAAATCCAGAGGCAGAGCAACAAGTGGCCGTGAGGGTGAATTCCGTGCTTAAATTTGATTCAATGGCTTTATTAAAGCAAATTGCAATGTCACAACAGCAGCAGATGGGAAATTCGCGTGTAATCACCCCAGTCAACAAGCTAATTAAGGCGTATTAATATCGGGTTTACGTTTGTTTGGTTTACCCAAAACCACAGCATTTCGGTGAAGCTGAAATCAGATCAGGCACAAAAAGCTAATGGAAAGGGGGTCAGTGATTATTGAGGTATATTCTATAATTTATAGCTCTTTTTGCCTATTTGATCTATTAACAGCTGGTTAACAGCAACAATAACCTATTAAATTCAGATTAGGCACAAAAACTTTATGATAGTGGAAAAATTGTGGGTGATTTATGGCTGTAGATACAACATATATTAATATTTGTCAATTTGTTCATAAGGAAAAACATATATTTAAATAAATAATTCCATCAAGTGCTTTTAGAGTGCCACAGTTATTTAACCAGCTGTTCCAGATCAAACCAATCTCACCTTGTAACCCATATCTCTGTCTTTTGTGAGGTTGAAACTAGAATTTCCAAGTTCAGGGTCAGCACACAACAACCTCATTAGCATAACTAATTCCCGCTAATCCATAAACGACGGCGGATAGTAAGCCACAATATTATGTTACTTTTTATGACCACAAAATACATGCATAGATGTATGCAAATTCGTAGGGGGCTGGTTCCATTTTAAATTTAAATGCCGCAGCAATTTAATTCAATTTATTGCCTGCTTTTGCACTTGCTTGCAGAATCTATTTCGAAAATCAGCTTTAAGCAACCACGACTGCCCCGAGTGATTCCGATTGTCACCGAGAAGAACAGAGAGCCGGCCACCACAGCAATTTAACGACACCACCGATCACAGAATTTACACCTGTCCCAGCCGCAAGTAGCGCCGCCTGCAACCACCCACCACCACCCACTGGATGGATCTGAAGCACAGCGCCAGTGGAGCTGCCGAAAACAGCGAGACCTTCGTAGCCACCAGCAAGTCCACAGACATGATCACGCCCAAGGACAAGGAGGGCAAGGCGGCCAAGGCAGCCGGCGGACAAAATGCCCCAGCCGAAGGTAAGTCAGTCAAAAAACCATTTTTACTATAATATTTACATTTTCCTAAAATTTAGAGTAATATATAATATCGACAAAGAGTTTAATCGAAATACTAACCTTACTTGGGCGTAAATAACTTATAATAATATTGTGAGTTCACATGAATAGTTTTGAAATTATACACCCATCGAGCACGTTTCCGAACCCTGCTCATTAGGGCGGTCCACATTTGTATGGACATTTTTAAGGTCCTACTCTCACCCGCTTATACGGTGCGCATTTTTGAAAAAATCGTGTTTTATTCTGAGAATTGGCTTCAAAGTTTATCACCCATACGCACTGTTGCCTTCGATCAAAAAGTTTTTCTAATCAAGGTGGCATAGATTTCAATTATCAATTATTCCAACAAAATTCATAATTTGACAAGACAAGAAATGGGAGAACGATTTTTTTAGATCAAATTCGAACTGTTATACGTGTCGTATGAGTAATTTTTAAGCCAACTTTGAGGACGTTTCGCAAGGTCTAAATCACGAAAAAATATTTGTTTTGTTTTCACATACATTTTTTGCTTACTTTAATATACCATGTTCATAGTTCAACAAAAATTTCATATAGAAGAAATTCGAAAAGTATTTGAACGAGAAGTTCTTCAAATTATCAAAACTATTTTCCTTAATATATCGCCATAACTGACCATAACAACACAAAGTAACATGGTCACCATTATTATGATAGAGAAATAGTAAAGAAAAATATAGAGATAATCAAGGTAGCAACATTGAAAAGGAATCATTTTTGAGGTGAAAGAATTGATGTATAGGCTTTAAACTTTAAAGTTTAAAGTAATTCGAGATCAATAACTCGGATAGTGTTTTAATCAAAATAGTTCAATCTGTAGAGTTTGACAAGGCACTTGAAAATGTCAAAAAGAATCATTTTATTAATGTGGGGTGACTACAATTTTTGATTTTAATCAATTTGATACGACCTAAATTAAGATAGTAAAGAAATGAAGTGAAATAATTGAGTTGGCGGCATGTAACAGATATTAAAGTGGCACAAAAGCCTACTTTATAACCTAATTAAAAAAGCATTAAAAACAATATTACACTTTTATTTTTTTTATTCCATATGATAGCTGTATAAAGTCGAATTCCGCAATTCACTCATCTGAAACAATGCCGTAGCAATGTTATATTACTTAAACACATGCATCGTTTGCATTTCATGCCACGGGTAGTTACCTTACAAATATATGTATCTTTGTGCACCTGCACTTTGCATGTCAGACATGAACGACCATTTTGGCTTAACTGCACCTCAAGGTAGGCAATACTATCGCCGTGTTTGTGACTGTGGTGTGGGTGGGTGTCTGTGGAAGTGGGTGGTTGTATTAAAGGGTGTGCACAGCGGCAGGCATTTGTATGCAGTGCAATCCAAGCACCACACAACCACACACAAATGCACTTGGCAAAAGCCTGCCAAAGCCACAGCCGCACATTCACTTAAAAGCAGTCCCAGCAGCACTGAAAAAAATTATTCATTTGGCAAAAATACATCTTAATTTGAGGTTTTTTTAAGCAAAAAATATAAATAATTTTGGAAATTGTAAAAAATTAAATTTGAAATGTAAACTTTTGGAAAAGGTTTTAAAACTATCAATATTTTGTAGAAATATCTTTATTTTGTCTTTAATAATTTTAAATTTTTTAATAAAATTTAAATACAGTTTTAAAAGGATAATTCTGGGCTTATCCAATATTTAATTAATTTCTTATTATTTTATTTACAATTTTTCCTGTGCATTGTAAACATATGCCCGGCCATTGTACCTGTATGTGTTTGTGCATACACGTGCCTTAACTGAAAAATACAAATAAAGAACGGCATCAAAGGTTTTGTACTTTCAATGCCATGCAAGCCAAAAAGTTAGTGACGTCGCTTCTGAATTGTCACAAATTGGAACAAAAAAAAAGGATGGATATAAATAGAACCAAAGACCATATAGTATACACAATCCAATGCATGCAATATAGTCGAATGCGCTTAAACAAGCCATTTAATTCCCAATGTAAATAGCGCTTCGTTTACCTATGTATGTAATGCCATGCTTTTATTTGTAATCAAACATTTTAATCATAAATATTTGCTTGTGTTTCATGGCGCACAAATGGCTCCCGTGGGAAAACTAAAAGTGCGCACAAATGAGCGAAATGAAAGCGAATGTCACGAGTGCCCTTATTTGCCTTTAAAACTAAAGTTTTCCACTTCATTTGAATGTAACTCTGTGTTTTTCTGTAAGTTCCATTTGGGTCAAAGGAAGGTAGTTAGTTTAAATTCTAGAACTAATGAAAATCATTAATTAATTATAAAATACTTATAATATGGGGTAACAGTAGCCAAATAAATGTGTAATAATAACTGAAATAGAGCACAGTGCTCTGTAGTACCGCCTTTGCAATCTTTAGCTGTATAAAGTACCTACTAACTTTTGACGTCGAAAGCCTTTAAGTTCGACCTTGAGAGAAGTACCAAAAATCCCCTTAAGGCCATGCAATAACTAAGAAAACAGAAAGGGCGGATCAACTTATTATGATAATGGGGCGAGGGTGGGCGCCTCCATTTGCATGGATATTGGCTTCGGAAGAGGCCTTAGGCCCGAGTAAGTAGTAAGTGAGTAGTGTAATCCTGCCCCCTAATCCAGTTAATCCGGTGCAGCTACATGGGGCTCTTCTCTTAAGTCAGGATGGGAAGCCCTGTTACATTCTGAAGTGACTTTCACCTGGCCCGCATTCTATTCCTATTTTCCAGGCTACAAAGTTTACGCCCGCCGCTGGGCGGTGCTCGCTCTCTTTGTGTTGTATTCATCCTCGAATGCCATGCAGTGGATACAATACACCATCATCAACAACATAATAACACGGTGAGTGAACGGGTTGAACGAGGGGCGGTTGTGCGATTCCGATTCCGGCAAATCGTGCATCATATTTCGTTAAAAGTTTTCACAAAGCTCATTAAACAACTTGACTGTGGGCGTGGGGCCAAATGAATGGCGGTGAATAAATTAACTTCCCGTTCGCCGACAACTGCACTCCCGCCAAGGGACTTCCCCTCGTTTACCCCTTCTAATCACGACTACGTTCTGTCCTCCTGCAGCTACTATGGCATCAGCGATAAATGGGTGGACTGGACGTCCATGATTTATATGATCCTCTACATACCGCTCATATTCCCCGGCAGTTGGTTTTTGGATAAAGTGGTAAGTAAGTGCACTGGCACAAATGGAAATAAATTAAAAATTTTAGTAGGGATTAAAGTAGAAATAAAACTTTGATAACGTATAAGAATTCAAAGCTTAAAACCTACTTTAAATCTAACAAGCGGACGAAAAAGCGGTCCTAAAGTAGTTAAAATTGTCGAAAAAAAGTAAATTTGTTATGTAGCTAAATACCATAAATACTAAGAATAATTTAAAATAATTTAGTTGCTTACAAAAAAGTAGTTTTAATAAAATCTAAAAAGGAAAAAGAATTTTTTAAAAAGAAACTTCAAAGAAACAGCAATTATTTGATTAGGTTTTTAGATGTCAAGAAATAATTTACTGTTTTTATAATTTTAATAATATTTAGTTTGGTTACCATTAAAATATGTTATTCTTATCATAAATTAAAGATTTTGAAGGATTTAGATTTAAGTTTTTCTCAGTTGAAAGGGGGGACCCTTTGTTTCCCAGCACTTGCGTTGCTCATTATTTATGGCCCTCCATTGTTTTATTTGCGTGTCATCAACAGGGTCTCCGCATAACCGCCCTGGTGGGGATTGTGGGCACTTGTGTGGGCGCCTGGATCAAGGTCTTCTCGGTGGATCCGTCGCTCTTCTATGTGAGCTTCATCGGCCAGTCGATCGTGGCTCTGGCCCAGGTGTGCATCCTGTCGCTGCCCGCCCGTTTGGCTGCCGTGTGGTTCGGTCCCGACCAGGTGTCCTCGGCCACCAGCGTGGGAGTCTTTGGCAACCAGGTGAGTTGGTCCCAGGAGCAGTCGCTTTCGATGGCCATGATGCTGCCATGTAAGCCGCTGCAACATTGTCTTGTGAGTTAGTGAGCCGTTGAATTTGCATTAACACGGAAAAGGCAGTGGAATGCCGGCACGCCCCCTTTTTGCCAGATTGATGCAGTAAGTCGGGCAAGGCCGACTGGGAACGTGGGCCAGGACCCACTTCCGGTGGGGCGGAAGTGGCTTGCTCTGACATTTTTGCAGCTATGGCTGTCCTGTGAATCCTGGCCAGGCCAGGCAATCATGAAATTGCCCAAAAGAGTTGCCGCACAAGTTAAACAAAACTGACAACGGCAGGGTCGACCCGTGCCACGCCCCCTTTCCGCCTCAACGGCTCCCAATGGTAATGCATGCGGAAGGCTCTTTGAGTGGATTCAATTTGGCGCACTGCATCCGCATCTCTGGCCAGCGGCAAAGAGGTTCAATTTATTCAGCAGCGACAAACAGACGAAATGACCTTTCCGAAATTCGCCGGAGCTTAAGTGATTGCCTGGCTACCTTGTGGTCGTCCAATGGGGCTGGACAATTGAAATGTCAGTGGATGGGTTGGCCGGAGATGAGAAAAGGTGGCCTGGGATAAGATGAGATGGGTTGAGGTAAGGTGACATGCATTATGCGGTTACAAGTGCAAAACTCGAGATTGCGGCCGACCGACCAGTTGATTACTTGACTTTTTAACCGAATGGGAATGTAAAACTGCAATAAGTAAGCCAATGAAGAAGACATTTTCATTAACCAAAATCAAATTTGGAATGCGACACGGGAAAATGGATTATTCAGTTGCTTCATGGAGTTAAGGCCAATTTCCAATTAAGCCATATGATGTACAAATCTTGTTTTACCTTGAAAACGTGTGAAGATTGTGAAGGTACAATAATGCAGGGATGTTTGCAGGGCACAGTGCCATTTAAATTTAAAAGTTTCTCCAAAAGAATTAAAATTAAATATATTTTTTAAAGTGACAATACCATAGATTGGTCTAAAAATTATTCATTTTTATGTGTTTAGTTAAGTTAAATTTTTAAAAAAAAAACTTAAATAAATTAAATAAAACAACACTTAAAATATAAAATTAAATGTAAAATTTAATTTGCTCTAAACATATAAAAACCCTAGAATCAATGTTTAAATGTTTTCTTTGGAAAAAGGAATAATTTATAAAGGAATGAATAAATAAGAACTATTAGACTAAAACTAGAAAATACGTTTCTATCGAGTGATTTAATAGTTGAAAGATAAAAATGTATTTATTTAATTACTGTTTTATTGTAATACGTTTGAATACAAAATACAGTAAATTTATCTAGCATCTGACACGTCCTTTACAAATAATTAAATATAATATTTTACCGAAAGATTTACCATTTAAAAAACCAAGGATTAGCAAATTAAAATACTTTCATTTAAGAGTGTATTTTTAATGACAACTAACATTGTGCAACCAATGGCAAATGTCACAGCCTTGCAAGTGAGTGCAGTTTTTGTTTTCGACAGGTTATGGGCTTAAACACCGCAAAACAATTAGGCCGCTTGCTTAGCCATTAGCCAACAGTGTCAGGTGCGGCTGTGATGAATGACAATGGCACTGGGAAATGGAGAGTGGAAAATGGAAAACGGGGAAATGGAGGGCGAAAGGCGGCGGAGGTGGCCAGGGGATGTGGAACAGTTTGCTCTTTATGTTGATTTACGAGCACATCGGGCGGCAGGACTGCAAGTGCAAATATGGGGCTCAAATATCCACAGCCGCCTCTCACCTCCCCATCCACATCTACATCCACTGACATCCCAGCAAGACACATTGCATCCTAAACGCACCTGCGTGTCATATTTGCCTTTCACTCGAGTGCAGATGAAAAGGCTTATAATTTCCGCTTGTCCCAGGTAGGAAGTCACAATGGGATGTGACAATGTGGGGCTACGTGATGATGACGAGGACGAGACGATGATGTGGATCAGGATGGGTGTTGGAAGGATGGCGAAGGGCTTTAAAGCCAGCCCGGGTAATCTCTTGTCGAAATGCCAAGCCGAACTTGTGCCCGAAAAAAAAGAGCCTTCATAAAAAACGCAGCGTGGGGCCACGTAGATGGCCCACATACCGAGTGACATTGAAAGCGGAAGCGGGGAGACCCCCCCAATCGCCTTGGCAGCCTTATCTGGCAAGGACGACGCACCACACGCTCTTGGATCAGAGCACTCCCAACCACCCACCGCCCACCGCCCCCAAATCTCGCCTTTCTGACTGGCTGAGCCGAGCTGAAGCGGATTTGGCGGAGGAGCATTGTTGCCAGAGTGCTGAGCAAACACAGTTTCTTTTCCCCCCTTTTCCATTTTTTTAGCACGTTGCTTTTTTTTTGCCGGATGGTCATGTAAACACGGCCGGAACGAGTTGTGCCGCCAAGTCGAAAATAACATTCTCCAGGGCCGACTGCGAACATTCCGGCGAATGAATGTAATGGCAGTCCCTCCTCCAAACGAGGCTCAGACGCTCGCTTCTCCGAGCCAAATATTTATTCTCGATACCATGGAGAGGCTCAGACTGCAGCCGAAAGTCCCACTCGAATGTCCTTTTGGGCTCCCTCGTAAAAGCCCAAATAGCCGGAACAAAGGAAGCCTGTCGGCGCAAAAAAATATAGGGGGAGATGAGCTCCTGGCAGCTGCCTGCTTTATGGCCCATCTCTCGGAATATATTTATTCAAATGGTTGCAATTCTATGAATTTACTCAGGCTCATATTGCCCGAGTATTTGAAAATCACATTTCTGTTTTTACTCGATTATACCAATCCCCTTGGCTTTATTGCGGAATCGAAAGGAATTATTTACATTTATTGGTGCCTGTAAAATGAATCCTTGATATTTATTTTATGAAATATGGCAGGAATATCCTTGAATTTGGATTTGCATTTCATTGCCGAATTGTAGGTATTAAATATATAGTATTTAAAGGTTTTGAGTTTTTCTGAACGGAAGCTTTTTTAATCCTGAAAGGTTTTCCTTCAATCAAATATTTAAATTATTCCGATTTCTTTTGGGAAATTTAAGTGTTAAAACATTGTATTTCTTTGTATGTTTTTCTACCTGATAAAATGTATCCGCATTTTCCACAGATTTTTGGTGTCAAGGAAGATTACCCAAGTAATCTGCGGGATAAGGTTTACCCAGATTAATAGAAAAATTCCGTTTATTCGGGATAGTCCTGATCCTTCGATAGTTGAGCTGCCATAAAATCAAACTACCAGCCCGAAATACAATTTTCTTGAGTAAAGATGACGAGAGGGAAAACCCCATTCTGTTTGCGTGCTCCACAAAGTGGGTGGCCCAATCTGGAACACGGACCACCTGCAGCTTCACCATCGGTATCTGGTGTGTTCGGTCACAATACTGCCAAAGGTTTTCATTTAACGTCAGCGGGAATTGAGTTTTCCCCTTTCCAGCATTTCAGTCCTTTGTTTGTCCAAACCAAAAGTTATTGCCAATGCGAAAGCTTCGCTTGGTTTACTGTGTGTGAAGCTGAACTGTTCAACCGGGCTGACATTTCTTTTGTTCGCTTAAATAAAAACAATTGGGACTCGGCTGATTATTTGCACACACAAAAGGTTGGTGTTTCAATTCAATTAAAACGGGAACATTCCCGTGAGCCTTTAATTAATTGAACCACACCTGATAAACGGTTGCCTGAAATTCTTATATTGCTTTAACTTCTGTTTTAAGGTAACCAATATACCAATTTTTGGTTCAATTTTTTCGCTAATAAAATTGCTTTCATGGTGCAATTTATTTTCCTGACTGTCAAATGTCACATGGCCCTAAATACCGCTAGTGCCACTAAAACCGATTTATAGCATTTTTTAAAAGAGGGTAAATAAAATACAGAACAAATTCTATACTCAACTAAAATATACCCTATAATATCTTTTCGGAATTTACATTTTAAAAATACTTTAAGGTTTCATGCCCCAATCAGCCGAATTATTTATTTTAAGCTGATTGAGGTATTATTGTGAAGAAAATATTTGTTTCCCATCCGTTGCTTAATCCACACGATACCCTATCAGTCTTCCGTACAAAAAATCAAGGAAAATAACTAAAAATTGCATGGCTCAACTTTTGTGCATTGGCGTGTGCGGAAAAAAGCGAAGCTGTCACAGCCGTGCCCGGGGTGTACATCTATTATTTTTTCCCCGTAAAACAGCGCCACAAACTTTGACGAAAACAAAAACACAACGGCAATAGAGAATCAGGGGGAGGATCCGGAAAAGGAGCAGGCTCACTATAAATCAATTTCACAGTTGCAGCGTGAATAACACCAGTGAAAGGGTCGGGGGGCAGAGAGTGAAAGTCCGGAAGAGGAGCAAAAATAGCAGCGGATTCAGAGGCAGCAGCGGAACCGGAAACAGATTCCGCTTTGAGCAACTTGTGTACAATCGAGAAATCCGCCCCCTTTTCCTTTCTTTCAGCTGGGCGTGGCCGTTGGCTTTGTGCTGCCACCCATGCTGGTGCCAAATTCCCCGGATCTGGAGACGGTGGGCAGTGATCTGCAGATGATGTTCTACTTGGTGGCCGGTCTCACCAGCATCCTGCTAGTCCTGATGGTCTTTTGTAAGTAAAAGTCTTTAATACGGTTCAGTTCCACACTTAACACTCCGATAAAGTTTACTTAAACACTCAATAAACTTTGAGAGTCTTTTATGTGTTTTTAACCACCACAACATTTTATATCCTCAATTAAATTTAAGTTCAAGAAAATATTAAAGGTTTAGGGGTTTATCTTCAACTAAAATGTCTAGAGATTTCTGTAACTTCACATCATATTAAACTTTTCGTAGCTGTGATAAAATTTATTAGATTTAATAACTAATAACTTAAAATGTTGAATAGTTTTCCAGGACAAACCGCCCACTCCGCCCTCCGCCGCCCAGGAGGCGGCCCAACTTTTGGAGAGTTCCGGCGAGGAGCAAGTCAGCTTCATGCAGTCGCTGAAGAACTTGATGACCAACCGAAACTTCATCTTCCTACTGCTGTCCTACGGCATAAACGTGGGCGTCTTTTACGCCATTTCCACGCTCCTGAATCCGGTAAGAGCCGAACTCCTCACTCGATTAATGAGCGGTTAATGGGGGCTAATTGCTGGGATTTGTTTACAGGTGGTGCTGAAGTATTATCCCGGCCACGAGGTGGACGCCGGACGAATTGGCCTCAGCATCGTGCTGGCCGGCATGCTGGGTTCCGTGGTATCGGGCATTGTGCTGGATAAGACGCACAAGTTCAAGTAAGTACAACAATAAACAGGGCTGAAGGGCTTTTTGCGAGCATGTTCGAAACTCATTACGCATACGCCGTGTGGCCCCGCTGCGAGTGGGGGCTGCTTGAGAAAGTTTTAGCTCGGCAGCTGCAGAAGTTGTTATTAATTGAATGAGGCTCACTCGATGTTTAATGAGCGGTACTTAATGTGGTTAAACCATCAAAAATCCAGGGAAACAACGCTGGCCGTCTACGCGCTGTCCATGGTGGGCATGTGGATCTTCACCTTCACCCTGGACACGGGTCACATCGCGGTGGTCTATCTGACGGCATCGCTGCTGGGGTAAGTTGATCTTAAAGAATTTACCTACAAACAATTTTTTTTTTTTATTGTCTAAGAAATTATTTTATTAAATTGTTAAAAATGTTAACTTTGTGTTCCAAGACAGAACGAACTCAAACCATTTATCAAAAAATATACAGTGGTGGTCACGAGTTTAGCACACATTGCTCGCCCATCGTATTTTCGCCATATCTCCTTTCTCGTTAGAGATTTCGACTTTCTGTTTTCACCCACCTTCGTGCTGGAAATAGAGCAATTTCCACTGTTAATATTGTCCCATTCGCTTGTACCGTTCTTCTTTGGCGATAATTTGAGTTGTGCAACCTCCAAAATGAGCTGGACACGAGTTTAGCACACTTTAGCACATTCATACCTTTTTACCCTTCTGATCATTTTTTTCGACTTTTTACTCCTTATTCTTGTTAGTGAACCTTAGTAAGGTACAAAAATGAAGAAACGAAAAATCTAGATAAATCACAGGGACTCTGGTACATAAATAACTAAAATTATCTAAATATCCCATTTTTAGGCAGGATAAGTGTCCTAATTGGTCTTAATTGGTCCTAGTCAATTATATTGACTTGTTTTACTTAAAATTAAACAATTATAAGATAATGCGGTTGAAAACATAGAGCTGGGACCTGATACAGTGACTCCACATTGCATGGCATTTCAGCAGATCCTGATTTTCGAGTCCTTTCAAATTTTCTAAAAATCTCCGGACCACATATTTTTGTAGCCAATTAAAAGACAAACAAAATGAGGTATATATCATTAAGATCGGTTAACAACTTCCTGCGACACGCATAAAGTTCTAAATAAAAACATTACAGCTTTAACTTAAAGCACGATTTGCATACAAAATTTCATAGAATCGAAACTTGAATCTTAATATCAAAGTGTTGCTATGCCTTTGCCTACGAAGTTGTTAGCCGATTCTAATGAAATATACCTCATTATTTTTGCCTTTTAATTGGCTACAAAAATATGTGGTCCGGAGATTTTTAGAAAATTTGAAAGGACTCGAAAATCAGGATCTGCTGAAATGCCATGCAATGTGGAGTCACTGTATCAGGTCCCAGCTCTATGTTTTCAACCGCATTATCTTATAATTGTTTAATTTTAAGTAAAACAAGTAAATATAATTGATTAGGACCAACAAGGATCAACTAGGACACTTATCCTGCCTAAAAATGGGATATTTAGATAATTTTAGTTATTTATGTACCAGAGTCCCTGTGATTTATCTAGATTTTTCGTTTCTTTATTTTTGTACCTTACTAAGGTTCACTAATAACAATAAGGAGTAAAAAGTCGAAAAAAAATGATCAGAAGGGTGAAAAGGTATAAATGTGCTAAAGTGTGCTAAACTCGTGTCCAGCTCATTTTGGAGGTTGCACAACTTAAAATATCGCCAAAGAAGAACGGTACAAGCGAATGGGACAATATTAACAGTGGAAGTTGCTCTATTTCCAGCACGAAGGTGGGTGAAAACAGAAAGTCGAAATCTCTAACGAGAAAGGAGATATGGCGAAAATACGATGGGCGAGCAAAGTGTGCTAAACTCGTGACCACCACTGTATGTTGTGGTCATACAACGTAATTTAAAAAAATATCCTAAAATTTTTAAAAGTTTGGTTTTCGAAATTTAGAGAGATACGCTTCTCAAATAATTTAATTAACTAACGGTATAAGAATCCGCTTGCCTGTAATATAGCAAACAAGAAAGGAAGCTACCTTCGGCCAGCCGAAGCTTATATACCCTTGTAGATAAAAGAATACTCACTCGGTGCAGTTCCAGGGATTCCAGATTCAGCGTTTCGATTTATTTCAATTTTGTTTTTAAGTAGTCAAGAATCAAAACGCCTACTTCCTACAAAGTTACAATGAATTTTCTTATATTTGTTTGGGAGCCTTAAGATATAGTGGTCCGATCCGGCTGGCTCCGACATATGTACTACCTGCAATAGAAAGAAGACCTTCGGGAAAGTTTCATCGCGATAGCTTTAAAACTGAGAGACTAGTTCGCATAGAAACGGACAGACGGACAGACGGACAGACGGACAGACGGACATGGCTAGATAGACTCGGCTATTGGTGCTGATCAAGAATATATATACTTTATGTGGTCGGAAACGTCTCCTTTACTGCGTTGCAAACATCTGACTGAAATTATAATACCCTCTACAAGGGTATAAAAAGGGATATTTTAAACTTCGAGGTCCTTTTTCTAAGAATACATGCTTAGGGACATTAGGGACATAATTTTGAAACACGCGGTAATTTATCTTGATATTTTTTAACAAGAAAGAATTTTATATTCCTGATAGATAGGTTTACTAAAATTAATTCCCCATCACCAACTCCTTTGCAGCTTTTTCATGACTGGCTACCTGCCGGTGGGCTTTGAGTTCGGAGCCGAGCTCACGTTCCCGGAGCCCGAGGGCACCTCCTCCGGCCTGCTAAACGCCTCCGCCCAGACCTTCGGCATCTGCTTCACGCTCTTCTACTCGGAGCTGTTCACCACATTCGGAGACATTGCCGCCAACATAACCATGGCCGTGATGCTGATTGTGGGCACCATCATTACGGCCACCACCCAGTCGGATCTGCGGCGGCAGAACGCCCAGGTGCCCGCCAGCGGGGCCATCAATCCGTAAGGAACTCACGCCGGACCGGTGACTGTCTTTTATGTATAGTATTCTACGCATATCGTTTTACCGTTTAATTTATTTAATTGTTTACTGTACATTCCGTTGTAGCCTTAAGTGTTGAATTTTAAAATGTTCATTAAAGGTGCATAGCAACATACACGCCAACGCAAAAACACGAACAAGAAAACACACACACACGAATACGAGTAAGCTTAGGCAATTATTTTTTAAATTTTATATTGGCCACCGACTAGGGTTTAGTGCATAGGTTAGATGAATCGAAATTCAGCTTTATCTTTGCGTTGCAACTGCACCACAAGAGTACATGCCACAGCCACACGAGTACATACTATACAGACAAGTGTTATATGGAAGTATCCTTCAGTATTATACCCCTAATAATCTAGCGAACGTTGACAATTTGATTGCTAAACGGAGGAGTAGTATCCAAAGCAGTTTGAGGCAGTGTATCCGAAATCCAGCGAATGCATTACCGAACAGTAGCCGCTCTCGTCTTCAATTGTTCCCTCCTTCCGCCACTGAACGTGTATATAATATATATAATTGTATTCCGGACCCGATCCAGCGAGAGAGCGCTACTGTTGTACAAAGCACAAGTCTATCCTGCATATCTGGCAAACTGTAATAATTTTGGAGGATTTACAACTAACAGCAGATTCAAGTCAAAATATATACCTATACGAAATATATATACATAAATATATATCTATACATTTGATAGTGTTGTGAACTAGAGGAAACCCACACTGAACACTCCGCCGAGGGCAATGCGTAATCCACTTTTTGTAGATAGCCTTTAGGCCGACATACGTAAGGAAGTTATCTCCAGCCTACAGTCAATTGAGATGGCCAAAGAAGCAGACACACTGAACTACCTGACATGAACCACCTACACAGTACAGAAATCCACGCGAGCGGATGCGGAGCAACCTGGTGCCGGAGCGGAGTTTGGCACTAGAACAGCCGGCGTCGTGATAACACGCAGCTTTAACTCTCACTCGTTGTTAGATCCCGAATGGTCAGAGATACAAAGATAGTTAACACGCGGAAACCACGTAGCCACTTCTTCATAGCCACGAGTTCTTGCAAAACGATATATGTGAATGTAAATGTGTACGTGTATAAAAGTATTCAATAAAATATAAACTATTCAGTGTATAACTGGCGTTAGCCTTTTACTGGGATTTACACATATCATATATATTTAGCGAGACATCCTAAATGCAATGTACAGTTTGTAGAAAGGTATTCAATACAACATTTTGTCGATATAATGCGAACACGAACGTGTCCAACTCGAATACGGAATACGAATAATTTGAATGGGAAACATAAAACAAAAAGGAGATAGTAAATGGAGTAACTTAAAAAGAGAAAACTTTAAACAACCCGCCCGTTTGGTGTCAGTGCCGCTGACAGGATTGCAGTGGGTCAGCGGGTCAGTGGGTGGTTCCCCAGGCGCGCAGCAGTGTCAGCGCCTTGTTGAGGTACGCGCACCACTCCTCGCGCTCCTCCTTCGTGTCGGCGGAGAGCAGATGCCGCACTATGGTGGTCTGTCCGTTGGGCACGATTATCAGCGACTCTTGGTCCGTCTCCAGCGCCGGCCGTTCGCACTCCAGCAGCATGGTGTTGAGGCGTGCGCAAATGTCGCGCGGTGCAATGGACACCTTCTGGGAACTGCACGAATTCAGATCGATGCTGCCCATGGGCGTCTTGCGCTTCTCATCGTCCGGATACTTCCAGAAGTTGATCACGGAGCCGTTCAGATAGCACCAGCGACGATGCCATGCCCCGAAGCCGGAGATGTCCTCGAACATGGTGAGGAATCCCTTGTACTCCACGCTCACTGATAGTTCACAGTTGACCTTCATGTGAACCACGCCATCCAGTGGGCTGACGCCCAGCACCTGGGTCAGCGTCCAGGTGGTGCGTTGAATTTCACGCAACGAAAAGATGGCAAAGCCGTATTGCACCAGCTGCGGTGTCCTTACCACATGCGGTCCCGCCGGACTCTGTACCGGCGGCATCACCAGACGATTCTCGCCACCCTTCTTCTTTGGGGTCTTAACGCCGCCCTTCTTGTTCAAGTTGATGTGGTACTTTAGCTCATGGGGCAGCTGATCGCGCTGAGCCAGCATGCCATAGATTTCCAGAGTGATCTGTAGGTGAATTTTACTTAGTTAAGAAGGAGTTTACATTTAAAAAAGTTATTTAAAACTTACCCGAAAATCGGCATACACATTGTTCAGTTGCAGGACATCGGGAAACTTGACAGACAACAGGCCAGGCATCGTGGGCACCGTCTTGGTGGCCAGCACGTGCTCATTGTACTTCAGTAAGCACACCAGATGATGGCCATTGATATGGTTGGAGGCCATTTTACGCACGTACTCCTGTCGCAGGGGAATGGTTATGTCCTTGACCGTCAGCAGGCCCTTTTCTTTTGGTGCACCCACGGGACGGATGCTGTTCTCGACTCTCAAACGCTGGACCTCATCCAAACAGGCCTGGCGACGATGGGCTGCAAGGATTTGATAAGTTGAATACAATTGATTTATAAACTTTAATGGATACAGCAATCTAAATTTGATTCCGAATTGCCAATTTATTTTGGAATGAAAGTCAAGATAAACTTGGGCTACTCACTTGCCAGTAGGAGATATCTCTCCCCCTCCACGGACTCTGTGGAGCCGGAAAACTCGACAGTGGCCGCACACAGATTCAAGGCCTGACTGGCTTGTCCAATCACCTGCTGCTGCTTGCACACCTCGCTCAACAGCTTCTTGATTTTGTCCTGTGCCTGCGAGGCCTCGTTTAATTCCCGCGCATTCTCCAATTCCTCATCGTCCTCGTCGGTCTGATCATCTAGGACAACAGAAGATGGTCTTGCGCTCTCACCCTGCTGCGGAGAATCGTACTCCAGTCTGTGCTTAGCATGGCAATCGCCTGCAAGGGCTGATCGCATCACCTGCTGCTCGCGGCATATCTTGCGCACCGGTGTGGAATTGGAGCTCTAAAGGGAAAACATATTAAGTTGCAGGTTTGTTATAATCATAAGCTTTTAATTACTCACATTGGTGCTCTGTTGGCGGCGGTAGAAGCTGACCGTGTGGACAAGCGTGACTAGGTTGTCCTTGTCCTGATTCACGCTCAATTCAGACTTTACCGGCTGAGAACCACTAAGCATGGGCGTCTGCATATCCACCAGCTCATTATGTTCATCGATGGGCGTGCAAGTGGTAGCCGGATTCTTACGGAAGGAAAAGCTATTCGAGGCCGTGGTTCCTTTGCTCTAAAAATTCCAGTTATTTAGAAATGTACATAGTAAGAACCTATTTTTAAGAGCACTTACGCCCAAGGACAGCCGACTGGCATTGTGCTCGTCCCCGCTGTCACTCTGATCGTCCTGAGTGCTGCCGTAATCGTCGGCCAGCGCCTCATCTAGGTAGTCATCCATCCCGGCAGAGACCTGCGACGAGTTCAAGGAGCTGTCGTCGTAGTACATGTCCTGATCGGCATAGCGCACAGTCTGAAAAGGTGTAAAATGGTGTTAATAAAGACCGCCCGCTGGGTTGTCAGATTTCTACCTGTACTCACCTTTTTGCCCGGCTGCTGCTGCATCTCCGCCTCGTTGCGCTGCACTGCGCTCATTATCTCACGGCCCAGGCTGCCATTGCACATGCCGGCGCTGCTGTCCTCAGTCTGCGACTGGTCCTCCGACTCATCCATGCAACTGCACGAATCAAAGATAAGCGGTTAGTTAAGAAAGCGATTTTATTGTAGGTCTTGTCTAGGGGATGTGGGGTTTAAAGCTATGCGTCTTAGGCCTATCAGTCTTGGGGATTGCTACTCGATGCATAGCAGGAATAGCAAGCAGGAGTAGCATTTGTCAGCGCACCTTTCGGTCTCCTCGTCGTCCAGTTGATGGCTGTCGTCCGTGGCGGAGGCCGTTTCGGTGGCGCAGCAGTTGTCGCCGCTGGAATCGAGGTCGGACAGAGCGGGATAAAGGCGATCGGAATGCGATTTGCGGGCCCGCTTCGAGTCCTCGTCAGTGATGGGCGCATCACCAGCTGAAATTGCGGAAATATCAGCTGCAAGTCCCTGCAATGCTGTGCTTTAGTTAGTTCTTACGTGATCGCCTCTTGCTGCTGGCCGCTGCGGGTGAGAGACCAGCGATGGGCGGCGGTGGAGGCGGCGGCATGGGCCGCACTACTTTGCTGGGAGCTGGCGCGGGAGCTCGAGCTGCAGCTGGAGCTGGTTGACTGTCAAAGAGCTCCTTTTGTTTGTTAAAGCGATTCGATATAATCTGCATGTCCTCCTGCCGCTGACGGTCAATGTCCTTGATGCGGGTCTCAGCACTGGATTGAGCATTTGCCACCAAGGCGGCCACCTTGTCGCGCAGCTTGCTTTCCGGCTTTGCCTTGGTCGCAGCAACCACAGTGGTAGCAGCTGCAGCTGTCACCGGATGCACTGCCGCCAAATGCTCTGTTAATTCAAGGAAAACGGAATTTAAGGTATGAAAAGTATGATAAAAAGTCTGCCAAACTCACGTTTCACCTCCTCCGCCCGGATTTGGCTAATACTGGGAGCAGATCCTATCGGTGCCATGGGCAGCATGGCCTTGTTGTTGCCCGACTCGAACAGTTTCATGCGCTCCTTCAGCGACAGCTCACAGGGATCCTTCTGGTTGCGCAGATTGCCTTGAGTCTGCCCGCCTTTGTTCTCAAAGATGGCCGCACGTCCGGAAACCAAGCCGGACTTTACACCAACTGCTGGCGGTGGTGGAGCTGATGGCTTGGGCGCCGGAGCAGAAGCAGAAGAGGCAAAGTTCTTGGCCACCTGGCTGACCGTCGTCGATTTCTCCGGCACTGGCGGCTTGGCAACTGGCGCCGCCTCCTCCTGTTTGGCATAATCATAGGTGTGTTTAATGGTCGACGATTCGCGGCGCTGAAAACCTTGGGCCTCCAGAGAGCTCAGTACCTTGGGATCCCATTTCAGCTGCTTGGTCCTGGCGGCCTCGTCGACCTCGTCCTTCTTGGGCGGCTGCGGGGCGGGGCGCCGACTGGACAAATGCGGTTTCGGTGGCGGAGCCTCCAGCGGTCTGTGCACTTCGTGGTGCGCCGTGTCATCCTCCCACTGATTGATGGTGTCCGCCAAGGCGGCAAGTTTGCCCAGCCGCTGCTTGGGCTGCCTGCTGCGATTGTCCGCCTCCTCTTCCTCGCCCGTTGTCACATGGAACTGCCCTTCGGTGCGGTGGATGGGCGAGGAGAGGTCATCGGTGTTGGAGTACAGGGCTCCCATGCGCTGCAGCCTGCTGCGGGAGGTGTCCCTTAGCCTGGCCAGCGGCTGATTCACTGACGCCGCCTCCAGCAGGGGATTCTCCTCCGCCTCGCTGTCAGTCACCTCCTGCTCCTGGATCTCAACTTGCACCTGGAGGAGATGCACAATTGAGCAAGGGAAACAGAACTGGGAAATAGCGGAAACTTACCCCAATTGGCTTGTCCGTGGTGATGTTTATCTCGATGCCCATGTCCAGGTTCTCCTTGTTGACCGCCGTGTAGTGACGCAGCGGCTTGGCCGGCGACGCCTCCAGCGTGGCCTTGCCCAGCAGCACGACCTTGCCGCCTCCCGGCGAGTGGCTCCTTGGGGCCAGGACTCCTGCCCCCGCATCCCCGCCAGCGGACGAGGAGGCGGAGGAACTGCACTCGGCGAGGGGAAATTTGCTGGCGTTGCTGATGCCGAGGGCGCGACTGCGCTGTTCCGCCTTCTCGAGCATGTGCTGCATGGGAGGGAAAAGCGGAAAATCGCAATGAAAAGTTGTAGATGCATTTACCTATACCATTAAACGGCGCCCAGAACAAAGGGCTTCGTTGTGTGTGCGAAATTCCCTCGTACCTGAGTGAACGGGTCCATTGTTGTTGTTGTTGTTGCTGCTGCAGCTGCTGCAAATGCAAATGCAAATGCGAGTTGTAATTGCGCGCACTAGAATATGAAATTTACTGTACTGCTCTCGCCGCACTCCGCGTTGCCGATTTGCGACCGATGTCTGTTATTTACTACTTGCGGGCTGCGCGTCCGTTTGCATTCGAAATTACTAGCGTCGCTTTTCGGCGGTTGGTTTTCCAGATGTGTTGAATAATTTCAAAACGACGCGCAAATGCCGTAGGACCCTCAACTGACCACGGAGAAATACCTAAAGAGGTGAGAATTGCGTGTGGTGAGTTGCGATAAGGTTGCCAGACTGTGGAAATTACTTGCCTGCTATTTTATCGGTTGGACAATCGGACAACTTAACCGGTTTATCGCTGCGAGTGGCAGCAGCTGATTTTTCTCTTTTGCGTGCAAAACAATAAGGTTTTACCTGTGTTTTACATTAAGATTTAAACCTTTTACGCAAATTACCATTCCTTAAGGTTACTAAGAATCTGTTGGTGAGTTGAAAACATGGGGCTTAAGCTTAAGATCCCTAAGCTCTCTATTGTTGCGCTTTGCACGTTGCGCCATCAGTGTTGTCTGTTTTGGCTTGAAATTTAGCTAAAAATACTGTTAAATTTAAATCCGAATTTATTTTAAATTTTTTATGTATTACAAAAAGTTATTTAATAAATTTTTCTAAACCAAAAATATAATTCGATTTAAAAAAAAAATGTAAACAAACCTTAACTGTTTTCACTAATTACAAAAATTGGATAATAATTGTTAAATAAAATCTAGCATTAAAGCTACAATTATATTATTCAACCTAAATTTTCAGACAATTTTTTTTATTTAATTTCTTTTATTTTTTTAGCCATGGGCGATCAAAAGACGGTGGATTTGCTGTGGAACTGTGCCTCCAAACTTACCGACCAAACCCACACAGAACGACTTCTCAAGTCGTATTACATGTAAGTTCCACTGTTAATTCCTGAAACACCCACAACTATATTATTTATCCCGCAACATATGCAGAACCACCTGCCGAAAGCTGGCCCGGCACAATGTCCAGTTGCCCGAGGACAGCTTCGGATCCGCACGCATGTGCTCCCGCTGCGGCAACCAGTGGACCGATGGTCGCTACCAACTCCACTTGCAGCCACAAAGGCTGAGGCAAAGTGCCAAGAGCCGGAGACTCATCGCCCAGCTGGAAACCGTAAGGGCCAAACAGACAAAGGGCGAGATGAGCAGTGGAGCCAGGAAACGGGCCAAGTGGCTTAAGAAGCGCATGGCCAGTCAAATGGTAGGTGCCAGAAGCTAGGGAAGCATCTAGGAGATGTATCTGGTTTAGCTGGGTAAAATTAGTTTTACATTCATAAGTAATTACATCCAAATTATATACCTATTTAAATTACTTTATTTAAAGACGTAAGATTTCTTATTAGAAAGAATATTATTATTTATACTTTTATTAAGAAGAATATTATTAGAATATAAGATTAATTTTGATGATGATGGTTAATATCTAAATCTAAAGCATATCCATAATTTAAGAAGTCTTTCTATGAATGTTACCAATATCATTCATACATTTATCTAAAAATCATGTTCTTACTCTGGATACTTAGCTCTCAATTTTAATATCAATAATATTTAACGTACTTAAGCTTTTTAAACAAAAAACTCCCTTATTCCTGTAAATCATACTAAAACAAAATCCTTTTTTTTCAGGCCGTGGACTGCGAAGTTTGCCGGCACAAGACAATGCTGCCGTTGGAGAAGGGCAAAAAGCGCGCCAAAGCCAAAGCCGCGGAGGAGACAATGGCAGCCACACAACCGGCGGCAGCGGGCCCAAACAAAAAGAAGGCTAAAAAGAAGAAGTCCCAAGCGCCGAATAAAGATATCAATGCAGGTCTGAAAATTCCACAGCAGCAAAAAACGCCGCAGCAGCAACAGCAGCAGCCTGCCAAATCGCCAGCGCCAGCGTCGTCCAAAAAAGCTTGCCAACCAGTTGGAAAGGCTTCCCAAAACCCAAGTCAGACGTCGAAGAAGAAAAAGAAGAAGCCCGCTCAGCCGGCGCCCGTCGTCGCTGCCAAAACGCAGTCGAAGACCCAGAAGCAAAACGCACTGCTGCAACTGGCCGCCCAGCTGAAATCGAACGCGTTTAAAGACGCCAGCAAATCGCAGCAGAACCGCCTGCAAGCGTTCCTCAAGTAGCGATGAAAATCGCTCCGCTCCGACAATGCATTAAAGTACCAAGATTGCAGCTCGGCTGAATGGAAATACTTGTTGTGGCACATAATTAAGCGTTAGCACAATACTAGAATCAGGCTCTTTGTGCCGGTTGATAAAGCCAGCCCAGGTGGGAACCTGTTATCCAGCCGCCCGGTCTTCTGGGTCGAGTCACGCAACGGCTATGCACTTATCACTGCTGCCCGAGACGCGACCCAAGGTTGTCCAGATATTGCGCAGTCAACATGGCCAGCATGCTTAATTTATTTCTCGGAGCGCAACGTTTAATTAAAATTGAGTTGTTTGCCACGGCGTCCCATGAACGCGTCCTTCAAGGCAGCTCCCAAAAAGGGCAACGGATCGAACGACTCGCTTTATCTGCCGCCCATTGCACAAAGAGCACACGCACAGGAGAAGGCTTCGGTCCCATATTGGCTTCGACTTCGGCTTTCCTCATTCTGCGAAGAAGGCTCTCGGATTTCTCGGCAGCTGCGGCAACAACATCTGCCTGCCACATTAGAAGATTTCTGGTTTTTACAGGCCAGCCTCAATAGCTCGAACCACTTAAGCCGTGTTCAAAGCGTAAGTCAAAGTACCAGAAATCGCACTGTTTACTTGAATTTGAATTAGTTTTAGTTATATAGTTAACAAAATGTTATTAAACTCAGAAGTATAGCACAAATAGCATTAAACTTATTAAATGTGTTTTAACTTCTTTTGAAAACTAAAAATAGTAAAATAATCGGTGTAATACCCGATAATTTGAATTTAATTTGTAATTTATTAATTAAATATACGATTTTACTAAGTTCTTTTAAAACTAAAAAAATAGTAAAAAAAATAGGTATAAACCCGATAATTTGAATTGAATTTGTAATTTATTAATTAATTATACGATTTTACTAAGTTTTCGTTAGGCAAGGTGAACCGTAGTTGGTCAGCCTGTTTTGCGATTGCCAAAATGGGCATGATGTTCTCTAAAATATGATATCAGCGGCGGGATCGGCTCTCTATATGTGGAAAGAACGATAGAATTTTTGGGCTGCCTACTCGAGGATGGGATCTGCGAATTTAAGATGCGCATTGGGCGTGGGTCTCTAACTTCAGAAAGCCGGCCGGCTCTGTTGATATCGCCCAAAAAGCAATGCAAAATCAAGAAAATTCGCACTCCAGCTCTTTTTGTTTTACACTTGAAAAAAAATGGGATATCAATATTTTAAATATGACAATTGATATTAAAACTTCAAAGTTCCTTTTAAACAAAGTTCTGCTATACAAAAGAAGTAAAATATAATATTAATTTTTGCGATTTTATCTTTAAGTTTATTCCCAAAGTTTTCCGCTGTGCAGAGCCAGAGCCGAGGGCACTTCGTTTGCGTTCGGGCGACCATCCAGAGTCCAGAGCTGCGGCCGAGGCCCCCAGTCCCCAGTTCCCCAGTCAGTCAGTTAAGCTCGAGTGATTCATGGTGGCGCACCAGCCGGAAAGTCGGAAAGTCGCGCTCGCTTCTTGGCTTCGGCGATGAAAAGTTCGCCCGCGAGCGAAAAGGTGTCAACGTTGTCAGAACGCAGTGGAAAACCGGATGCAAAATCAAACTCAGTGCGTGGATGCATTTCGTAATTCTTTAATTGGCAGGAAGCCGGGCCGTCGAAAATGACCGGAAGTGCGGAAGGAGCGCGCAGCGGGGGAAAGTAGTGGGGTGTCAGACACGCCTGCGCACAGGTTTTCGCTTCCACCAAGTTTCGTGGCCGGAAAAGTCTCGCGCCGCGAAGCCAGCTGGCAAGCAGTTTGTTTGGCTTTTCCGCGAAACAAAACTGGCCGTCGAGAAGGGAATTCGTCGTACGTTTATCAATCGCAAACAAAGGTGTCGCTGGTGTCGAGTTGCCAATGTTCTGAATCAATAAATACATATTTTTAACGGCCGGCACAAAGGGAGCTAATAGTCCGGACCGTCCAGTGCAAATTAAATTACATTTCTGTTTTATGGGCATGATAGAAAATAAAGAAGCGAAAAGTAAAAGCAGACTCTGGACACGTACATATAGCAGGTGTATATTGAGGGGCTCAGAGAAATGGTCAGCAGTTTGCTTATACAGTAGAACTTACCAGATATATTTTAAAAAGAATTTATAGACTTGAGAAAATTAAAAGAGATTGTTTTATTGAATTTTAATTTATTTTTTAAATAATTATGACTTGAAATTTTATAGATAGACATAGACATACCCATAGTTTTTGCAATATAAATTTTTATACCATCAAGTAATTTTCAATATTGATCATTTTTGAAAAAGTTGTATTTTTCTGTGTAGCATTTGCATTTTTGGGCAACAGAAGTTCGATAGTTAGTGCAATTCTCTGGACAGACTGTCGCTTCTTTGTGGCGACACGCGTCGCCTTTCAGATGAGTCACAATTAAAAGGCTTGGCCCCAAACAAGGGTCCCGGGTTCGGGTTCGGGCTCGAGTTTGGGTCCGGGCTCCTCTGCGTGTGGGCACCCCGTATTTGTATTCAATTCTTGGCCGCAAAACAGTGGAAACCGCAAATGACAGACACGACGGAAAAGTGAAAAACAAAATTTAAACAAAAACGGAGACACCCAGACAAGTGCAGAGGGGCGTTGGGCGGCCCAAAGAGGGATTTCGTAATGGCATTTAATGGCTGGCACACACACACACTCAGCAGGCAACAGTTTCCCCACCAACGAATCTAGATACTTTAGCCAGATACTCAGATACCCAGATACAGTACATAACGTCATCAGTTGATTTTCCATGAGGCGCCAAACGAAGCGTGCAACCGAAAAAAGCGAAAATAGTAGGCACAATAGTAAAAATAAAACGAATAGAGCGCATAAACAACTGCAGGCGCAATAGAGATTGTATTGTATTTCGACGCGTACGGATATCTGGATGGGATGGTATAGGATGGGGTAGCTGCATCGGTGATCCGTCTATTAATAGGACAGCTCCACAGCAGGTTCGCAGCGGGGGAGGTGTTTGCCTTGCGACAACGACCAGCCGATAAACCAGGAACACCTTCAGTAGCACTCCGGTCGCACTCCGCGCTCGACTCCCCAATCCAATCGAAGATTTTGCATCCCATCGGTATCTGGTATCTGTTTTGTGCATGTGATCTAATAAAAAATGTGTTATCCCCTTTTGACAGCAGGCTGTTAATTTCTAAGGCAAAACATTGTGTGTGCAGTTGGTGGATATGCCAGGTACAGATGACTATTCAAATCCAGATCGGAGAGAAGCCACAATAAAGCCCGGGCGAGAAATCAAACGATCGGCAGCACAACAAGCACTCAACGCACATTAACGCAAAACGCTTCGAATTAACACTGAGCGCTAAATTAAAAAATACAAAACATCAAGAATAAAACAAATTTAAGACATGGATACAAAGGCAACAACTAAGGGGGCCGAGATTGAGCAGTTTTTGTTGGGTAAGTTTCGACTTTTTGTATAGTTACACACAAAGAAACAATCTTGGGTGATAATTATTTAAATAGCCGTTACGAGTTATCATCCAATAAAAATGTTTTAGCAGGCAAAAATGCGTGGTAATAATATTTTTAGACAGAGTTTCCTATTAAAATATTATTTTGAACAATTCTGATAATGTAATCTTTATCAAAATGGTAGTATATCGAACGAAAGGTGACCCCAAATAAATTATAAAATGAAAAAAGTTTATGTGTTGATATTTTTAGACAGAGTTTCCTATTACAATATTATTTTAAACATTTATGATAATGTAATCTTTGTCAAAATGGTAGTTTTAAATTGGTCTATGATAGTATCGAACGAAAGGTGACCCCAAATAAATTATAAAACCTTTTCTTTTCTTAAATTCTATATTATATTTTATTCTTTGCGTGTAGCTGAAAAAGGAAAAGCAAAATTGAAGCCAGTTAGTGTGAGATAGATCAACAGAAACTTTGTTAATTTTGCCAGGCAAACAGCGCCATCGAAAAATTACAAACCGACTCGAAATGGAGGAGGAGGGGCAAACTCCGACACATAAGCATTAACAATAACAATAACCCAGTGCCGGAGTATTATTGACTCATTCCGCAGGCGTCCAAGCTTAATACTCTTTTGTTCTGGTTCTGGCTTATGGCCATCAGACTCAGAGTCTTCTGGTTATTTTAGTGCCCTCCTCTGCTCTGCTTATATTTCGTACATTTTATCGAGACCGATTTGGGCTCCTCGTTGGACCTCTGTGTCTGTTCCCCCGAACCGTTTATATATATCGTTATACATGTGTATATGCACAAGGTAGACAATAAACAGAGGATTGGACATGCCGCAAAACTAAGCCCAAAGCGCTTGTTTTAGCCTCTTTTGCCTCCCCTTCCCTCGTCTTCTTTAGTCAGTTTAATTTTCTCAGGTTTCGGTTCACTGGCTCTGGGCATGATGAAGGGCATAGGAAGCATACTTATCAAACCCTCCTCCGATGACTGTTGCCTTAATTTATCTTTGTTTGTGTAAAGCTGAAGGGGGTCTCTTGCTGTTGATCTTTAAATATCGAACAAATAAGTCGTTGGGGGGTTTCCATCGATCCCGGTTAAACCACTGCTTATCAGTGGCTTTCTTATAAATAACAAAACACTTAATATTTGTTCACTTCTACAAGTATCTTGATAAGTATCAAGAAAAGCATATATAAATCCATAAACAGATCTTTTAATTACAACCAAAACCATTTTGTTTGTAGGTTTGTTGCAGCTTCCTATACAACTTCCCCTGAATGTAGACCTTAAATCCAAAAAATCGTATCGCTGATTTTGCATAAAAAACAAACAAATTAGTTTTTAATACCCTTTTCTCTTACTCGTCTTCTCTGTAAAAGATTATGCATACTCAAAAACCTCAATTATTCACTTTATGGAAGATAAATTATTTTCTATCTGTCGTAGTATTTTAACTTACTTTAAAACGGAAGAACAGCGTTTTTCTGAATAAGCGTGTTTCATATCCGCACCGGAAATAAAATTTAAATGGATAAAATTTGTATCTAAAAAATGTACGTCAGAAAAAAAAGCCGTGAGATAACATTTTTAAAAATTGGGGAATATATATAAAACAAGAGAGAACGCTATAGTCGGGTTGGTGTCCCGACTATCTAATACCCGTCACTCAGCTAAAGGGAGTGCGAACGCTGTGTCGGGTTGGTGTCCCGACTAATAATCGTAACTCGCTAAAGGGAGTGCGAGGGAGATAGATATATGTTGACAATTTATAAAGCGTATAACTTTTTAATGAATGGTCCGATTTGAAAAATGTCTTCTACATTTCGATATGTATAAATATACACAACAAAATTGCATTTATACTTCTCGAAATCTTTAAAGATGTGGGCGCAGGACCCATTTTAAAATCGTTAGTGGGCGATTGTGGGCGTTAGAGGGGGGTGGCGCTCGGCTAAAATAAACTTGCGCTGCGTAGGAAGCCAAAGAATATGTGTGGGAAATCTCAACCTTCTAGCTTTTGTAGTTTCTGAGATCTCAGCGTTCATACAGACGGACAGACGGACAGACAGACAGACAGACAGACAGACAGACAGACAGACAGACAGACAGACGGACAGACGGACATGGCTAGATCGACTCGGCTAGTGACCCTGATCAAGAATATATATACTTTATGGGGTCGGAAACGCTTCCTTCTAGCTGTTACATACTTTTGCACGAATCTAGTATACCCTTTTACTCTACGAGTAACGGGTATAAAAATCATGTGTTTATTATTTTTAAGCTAGTTTTCGAAGAAAATAATTAGATGCAAATTCATTCATTAGCGTTAATCTTTAACTCCAAAAAATATAAATCAATCCTACTTTAATTTACCGTAATATTTATTTGAAGTCAGAAAATCATATCAATATCTTAAAGGTAGGACGGACATACACTTTAAAAGTTTTTCTGAATATCATTAAAAACCAATTTATGCACTTACATATATTTAAGAGTGGATTTTTAAGGGCATTTCCAGTTCGGGTTTTGCCATCACGACTTTCGGGCATTTTTCTTATTGCCATATTCGGACGTATTACGTTTAAAGAGCAGCTCTTCAGAGCTTTGCGTGCTCAACTTTTAACAAGATTTCTTGCAAATTTCAGTGTTTTCTGTTTTCTGCTTTACCGTTAAATAATTTATACTTCTGGATGTGGGCATTTCTGTTTAGAGACGACCAGAGCAGCAGTCACAGACACCAGAGTTAACTTTCTTGGCCAGTGAAATTATTTTTAATTGCCGCGGTCAATTCGCAGTTGACTCTTGAGCGAGAGCTTTATGAGGTCACTTGTGTGTATGTGGTGTGGTGTGGTCGGTCTTCTTACTGGGAACCGGAGTACTATACATAGTACTTAACTTCCCGCTCAGTGAGTCACAGCTGCAAAAGCAGCAAAGACACCGCCACTCCACTGGCCCACTAATTGCCCCCATCCCCATCCCCACATCCAACCCCATGGAAACTACACTCTTGCTCAACTGCCCCGCCATTAGGGCCAATGATGCGTTTAGAAATTAATAGCTAATGGGGCCGCCGCCTTATTTAGCCAGCTGAGCAGCTAAAAGCGGACATTAGAACTTACGATCCTCTCTTCTCCGGTTCCATTGCAGATGTCCGCGCCCATTTCCGAGCCTCGCTGGAGACCTCGGAGTACGAGAACGCCTCGAACCTCTTCCACATGACAGCCGCCGAGCAGACCGCCGCACTTCTGGCCCGCTGCGAGATTCTGCTGGCTGCATCTGGATCTGGATCGGGATCGGGATTGGGATGCGCAGACGAGCAGGCGGCAAACCTGGCCGACTGCGTCGACAGCAAAGTGGGCGCGGAGACCGGTCCCAGCGGCTATCTGGAGATGCTCGCCTCCCCGGCCTCCTCGAAAAACTCGCGTGAGTACTCCAGGGCATATAACACATATATACAGTGGTACTTCCATAACTCAGACACAAATTACAGAATCAAATATGTATTTTAAAACGCAATATTACAGAACTATTAAAGAACAATTATATTTAAATAAATCCTAATGAGAATTTAAAGAATTAAAGGATCTAGCACGAAGATTTCTTTTAAAAAATTTAAATTTATTAAACGATTTCCAAATATTATAGATCTATCAATAAACATCTATTAAGGATAGCTATTATTCAGTCGTACAAATAAATTCTTGGTGTTAAAGATCATCATTTTAATGATGACCAGCAATACCTATCAATATTGACACTAATCAATTAGTATAGTAATATTTCTTTAGAACTCTCTAATTAAATGAAACACCCAGCTTTTATAAGAAATTCATAGAATTCAAGAATATAAAATCTATGAATAGTTTCTGAAGTCACAGAAACTTTTTCTTAAGAAATCCGACTTTCCTTGAGACATTTAAGAAATAAAACCTGATGTAATTTGATGTTTCCGAAGACCGACTGTACTTAATGCCTAAAACTAGCACTAATTACCCCTAATTGCAGTGTCCGCCTCGCGGGAATACATTGATCTGGGGAGCAGCGGGTCCCTGGATCGCTGCTCCGTCCACCAACCGGTTGCGGGATCGGCGGACAAGGAGCCGCCTCAGCAGCTCTACGAGATCTGCCAGGGTCAGGGAGCGGGTCAGGACCAGGCCCAGGACGAGGATGAGTCCCAGCAGGCGATCACCTTCACCCACGAACTGATCATCGACTGTCCGTACGCGGATCTGCCCGCTGGCCACCTGTCCCTGCAGAGATCCACCAAATACGGACAGCTGCAGCGGATCGTTCCGAAGCGGCTGTTCTTCGACCAGACCCGCAAGTGCTACTGCGGCATCCTCAACGACTGGATGCTGTGCTATGCCGACGGACCCACCGCCTGCCGACCCAGCAGCACCCTCTACCTCAAGTGCTCCTCCATCGAGATCGAGCACTTTGGCGAGGGCAAGCGGCGCGATATCTGCTTCCAGATCACCACGGACGACCCCAACAAGAAGTTCGTGTACCAGGCCAACAACGAGGTCGATGCCAAAGAGTGGATACACGCCATCGAGGCGGCCATCCGCGGCGATGCCGGTGCCCATCCGGTCCTGAAGAGCCCACCGCCCCGGAAGCTGCCCACTCCGCCGGTCCAGAAGAAGTCCAGCTATGTAGCAACGGATATTATATACGAGGAGCCCTCGCCCATTTATGGCCTCATCGACTCCTCGGCCATGGTGCTGCCCAAGCTGCCGGAGAAGAACAACAGCCCCAACTCGCTGGCCCGCCGCTTCGAGTACGATGTGCCCAAGTGTCCGGCACAGCCGCTGCAGGAACACTCCGTCGGCGTGGCCCCCATTGATGGAGGCCTGGAATCCCTGGGGTTGCTCAACGAGGCGGAGGTCAAGGTGCAACCACTGCCCTCCAGTCTGCATGGAAACAGCTCGCTGGATTTTCAAGCCCGGGTGAAAACCGTGCACAGCGAGCTCTCCACCCAACTTTCAGCGGGTGGTCCCAGTCCAGATCGTCTAAAGAAGGCGGTGAAGAAGAGCTACACGAATGGCAGCGAACCAGAAATGCTCTCACCGCTCACCAGTCCCGCCCACACGCCCACCAAGGAGCAAAAGAAGCAGCGCAAGTCGACGACCACGCCACAGTCAAGTCCGGTTGATAAGGATAAGCTGGCCAGGAACTGGTTCCTCAGTCGCCTGAACAAGAGCACGACCAAGACGAACAGCTCGGCGGTCAGTGGATCACCGAACAATGCCAAGTGCAAGCAGAGCGAGAAGGAGAACCTGCTGACGGATGCGGAGCTGGGCGAGGGCTACGATGCGAGTCCGGATCCTGGCCTGCTGGGCAGCCCACCCACGTCGCCCACGTGCCTGAAGGCGGACGCCAAGAGCAAGGTGAACATGATCATCAACCAGTTCGAGACCAGTGGCCACCTGTCCACCATGTTCAGCGTGGAGGCGCTGGCCGCCAATGCGCTCGCCTCGCTGACATCCTTCTGCGAAAGTGATGGTTACAACAACTACGAGCCCATCATGCCCCTGGCCACGACTCCGAGCAGCTTCCTGAAGAAGGTGTAGACTGCCGCACATCGCTATCCATCATCCGACATCCTGGAGAGCTCGTTCGTCTCTGTATTTTAGATTTAATCCTTAGGCTAGTGAAAACCACTCTCCGGGTGTCTCATAAACTTTGACATAAAATTTTAATATCAAAACATAATGGTTGTTAGCATACGTAAAAGTACGACAAGTGAGTTTTCCAATTTGGGAGCATGGTGCATGGTGCATGGTGCCTGGACAGACAGAATCTTGAGGATCGAGGTAGATTTCCATGTCGTTGCTGGTGCCGTGGGGATGTGGATGTGCTTGGATTATAATACAGTTGGGGGGAAATAAATTCAGGTCTAGTGCTGATTACTCGCCGGATAGGCGATGGTTGTCCTCAATGGACTGGGATCGGAGCGATGAGATTCAATGATGTCCAACAGGGCGACACGTTTGCGCTCGTCTGGCACAAGCACCAACTTCCGGGGTGTCTCCTTGCTGCTAAACAAACCCAGTACCTTCTTGCCATCCGCCTTCACACTGAACTGGATGCCGCGAGACGTGGCAGCAACGCTGCTGATTTCGTTCCACAGGTAGGACCACAGAGACTACAATTGAGGGACTTGTTAGTAAATATGAATGGTTGAAGCTTAGCTATCAAACTCACCGTCCAGACGCCGAACATCTCGTTACGCTGCACGTACATCAGGCGGTAGTTGGTCACCACCAGGTACTCGGACTTCTGGATGATCTCCTCGCAATGAATAAAGTTGTCCGTGGTGGCAAATTTACCCTTGTCGGTTTCCCTACGAAGAAAAGAGTGGTGATTTAAATTTGAGATATCTTAAGTTGTTATAGCGATCCACACTTACTTCATTATCTTATTGCCCGTCGCCTCCATAAAACAATAGGGTCTTAGAACGAAGTCGTAGTGCTGGAAGCGCGGCGGTCGCATGCGTTTCACATCCTCGCTTGCATCCGCCGCCCGCTTCACAGCCTCGAAGCTGCCACTGGCGAAGTCAACCACGCCGGCGGTGGGGCGAGCCACCAGGCCAATGGCACCCTTGCCCAGGCCCTTAAAGAAGCCCTCGACGCCGTTGTCGCGAGCCCCAGTCACTGGTTTGGTTACAACGCCAGTGACACCGTCCACAAAGCCCTGTTGAAGTAACAAATTAGAACCGTAATATGAATATAAATATGGGTTACGGTCTTACCATCACCAGGCCCTTGCTGCTGCGGGCTAATCCCTCGTGGAAGTTCTTCGGTTTGTTTTGGATTCCCTGACGTCTCTTCTTCTGGTAGTCCTCGTCAAAGGTCAGCGCAGCCAATCCCTTGCCCATAGCACCAGTAATTCTTAAAGATGAAAAGGAAAATAAATGTTACATTATTTTTTAAGCACAAAGAAAGATAAACTCACTTGGACACGGCTCCAGCGGCACCGCCCACCGTGTGGCCAAAGAGCGACTTGACGCCCAGCACCACACCTTCAGCAAATTCACCTGGTCCTTGGATGGCACCCTTGAAAATAGTATAACATATAGGCAAGTTATTAAATAAATTAACTCCAGTTTACCTGGAAAGGTTCGTAGAACAAGTCCTCGACACCCTTTTTGAGTCCAACCACTAAACCGTAAGGATTACCCAGGACATCCAGGCCGAGCACAAGCACATACAGCTGCTTCAGCGCTTGACCAGTATAATGCGAGGTGATCTCGTTGACCAACTGTTTCTGTGTGAAGAACTGATACTCGCGCTCGAAGAAGGCCAGTCGGAAGACCACATCGTTGACGTCCGTCAGGGTCACGCCCACGCCCTGGACCAGCGATCCCAAGAAACCGGGCAACGCCTTCGTATCCGAGCCCGCCATCGAGAAGCTCACGTGGATCTTGAGCGGACCCAAATGCAGGTTATCGTAGAAGCTCTTCTGCTCCTCCAACGAGTGCTCTTCGAAGAAGGCGGAGAGCGGCATCTCAATGGACTCGACGTCCTGTCGGAACTGTTTGGCTGCCGTCTCGTCATTCACCTCCTTGGCAAACATATCCGCGATGGCCGTGAGGAAGTTCAAATCGACTTTGAAGAGGAACTCTTGAATCAGGATTTTGGCGTACTTAAACTGTCGCACCGTCGAGTTGGGCATAATGCGCTGCACCATGCTGCACTCGATAAATGGCTTCAAAGAGGTCGTATTCGCCACGCTCTTGGGCGGTGGAATTGGGGCCAATACAACGGGGAATATGGGATCTATGAACTGGTTGTCCACCTGTATACGATTGATTTTCACATGCAGCTGGTTCTGGAATGGCGACGACTTGCGGGATACCCAAATTGCTGGGTAAAAGCTGCGCCTTATGTTTCGCTCCACCGTTTTCTTTAGCACCATGAGGTCAAAGTCGATCTGGAAGGAAATGTTTTAGTCCCTGATTTCTCAAATTACTAATTAGGTGTTTCTTTTACCGGGAACTTGTTGTCCAGCTTGTAGGTCTGCACATCGTTGACACTCTTGTGCACTAGATATTTCTGATACTCGCTCTCCAGGAGCTCGTTCTCGGCAATGGTGAAGTCCTTGAAGCGCTTCTTTGTAATCTTCTTCGATTCCCAAATGATTCCAGAGCTGGTAATGCCAAGGTAAAGAATATCCAGGCCCGACTCATTGTTTATCACTGACAGGCCAATGCCGTGGATACTCAGATCGATGCTTTGGGTGATGGACTGCAGCGAATTTGTGGTTTCTGTACGATGGGCAATCGATTCATTCTCGGTGAAGAGCAACACACGTTGCAGGCCGTCCAGGAAGGATACCCAAATGACCTTTTGGCCGTCCTGCATGCTATAAATTCAAATTGATTATTGGATAAAAGTATATGTTAAATCGATTATGAGATACTTACACCACCTCGCCGATGCCGTCACGTTTTAGATCCGTCTCCTCTTTGTTGGCGCCAAAAACGAGAACTTTGGGACCCGTCGGATCATCCCAGGCAAACATGATATTGCTCTTGGCATTCAAAATCTTCTCGTTCTTCGTTCCCTTCTCGAAGTAGGTAATCTGTTTGCCTGTGTGATTGATCAGCAGGCCGGGAGCATCGGCTGGCTTGTAGTCCGTAAACGTGATATAGACGCCGCCCTCCGTCGTCTGCACATCCACATTGATGCCACCATATTTGCTGTCCTCCAGCTTGAGCAGCGTGCAGATCACCTCCGTGTAGTCAAAGGCCGGTGTCACCTTGCCATCCACGCGCACCACCAGGTTGTTCTTCGAGTCGTTCCTCGGCCAGATGGGTTCAAGCTCATTGGGCTCGAGGTGGATCCATCGATCGGCCGGGCGACTCTGCTCCTGCAGCTCGATGTCGAAGCGGCACTTATTGCACACAATATAGAAGGGGATGAAGGTGATCTGCTTGGTCAGGGAGTTCTGAGTCAAGTGGTTGTGAACACCAATGAGGTACTTCTGGTTGTTCGAAAAACAGGTGACCTCGCCAATCGAACCAGCTACGTCCAGGGGGATCTTCTCACTCCACTGGCCGTTATCGATGCGAATGGAGGCCTTTTTCTTGTCAAAGAAGATTTTATCCCGGAACGTGAACATAATGGGTCCGGAATATTCGGGAGGGTGGTACAGCACTTCCACGGAGGACGTTTCGGTTTTGTAGGTCAGCATCATTCCCGTCTTATTTATCATCCAGAAGGGGCTAAAGAGTGTGAGCATCAAGCTGCCATGTCGATTTTCCGACCTGGGAGTCAACATTGTGTTTTAATATCTAGTTCTCTAGTTAAATAAAATTATTAATGCTTACTTCACACAAAGATCCATGTCCACTTTTAACTCCGAGTCGTAGGATGAAAACGTCCAGGTCATGATATCGTCAGTGAAATCGCAAACCTCTGTGGCACAGGACCAGTCCTTCTCCAAGTATTGAACCAGCTAAACAAGGGGCATTCTCTTAGTAAGATGTGATTTAGATTGGTAGAGACCAACTCACCCGCACAACCAGGAAGCTTTTTGCTTCCTTGTTATTTGAGGCCAATCGAACGGTGGGCAGGTGAAGCACATCGCCCGAGTTGACTGGCTTTTCGCCGTAGTCCAGGAAATCCTCCTTGCTGTACCCCTTATCCACCACCCCCACCGTGGACTGGGCTTCCATGCCATCCTCCTTTCGGACCGAGCAACCGGCCACCGACACTTGGATATTGATGGGCAGGGAGTTGCGCAGGTAGAGCGGCGGACGCAGATGGATCGTGTAGAAGGCGCTCAGCAGCGTAAACTTGTTGGTGTTCTCATTATAGACCTCCGTTTTCGATCGTCGAGCGTTGATAATAAGCGACTCAAATGTCTTGGTCGGATCGCAGTGCAGCTGGTGCGAATAAGTCATGTCCGAGGGATTGGCAGCCCACGAAATGCCCTGCACGGATGTTCTGTAGCCGCGCATCGAGAAGTAGAGCTCCTTGGAGTTCGCGTAAATGGCGTGCAGTGGCACATGGAACACCTCGTGGGGACGAACACGCCCGACAAAAATATCCTCAAAGCAGTCCGCAGTGGGCGTAGGATTGCGTCGATAGATGTTAACACCTGTCGTAAAGTGATTATGAACCTGCAAGTGATGGGAAGATAAGAAAACATTCTAATGAAGACTTCCTTTCTTTTACTTACACTGACTACTCCGTGGATATTGATTTTCGTGGTGCCGTACTCCTGTTTCACTTCGGAAATAATGCCCCACGGCTCATGAGATGTGCTGCGCATCAGATTGAAGAAACGGGTATCCGACTTGGACACGGGCAGGGCGATCTCCTTGTTAATATCCCCAATCTGTCGAAAGGAAATAGTTAAGAGGATCCCACTTTACAAAGCACGAAGTCCACCTACCGTCACATAAAGGGTATAGTCCTCGGAATCCTCATCGGATAACGTGCTCAAGTCTTTGGTCTGCAGATATGCTCTTCCGCCCGACGAAATGGTGCAGGTTTTAATTGCGCTGGGATCGACCTCCTCGGCCTGGGCAGACAGAAGCAAGGTGCTACTCACACCCGGCAGGGCGCCACCGCGGTGGACCTCGTGCAGCGTGAAGATGCCCTTGCGCAGATCAAGGTTGACATCGAAGCCAGTATCGTTCTCCAGCACATAGGGAGCCACGATTTCCGGCTTGGTCAGACCCTTCTGATCGATGGCCTGCGAGAAGGCCTCGGCTAGTTCGCCTAGTAAACCCAGGCACGTCTTGCTCAACGTTATCTCGAGCGTCTCCTCCGAGTGGATCTTCATGTGCATGGCTTGCTGGTCGTCTGCGTCATCCACCTCGCTCTGCACCTTCTCCATGCCCATTTCGAACTTTAGCTCCCATGGCGTGTATTCGCGGACGCCGTTGCGACCAACCACCTCGTTTAGCTCAATAATAGGCTCCCATTCAGCAAGAGCTTGGTTATAGTAGTTCTTAAGGAATAATGTTAAAGGATGTTATGTTAAAAGATTTAATATGTAAATTTGTCTAATCAAACTTACCATGTTTAGAGTCAAAGAGCCATGAGCGGTGAGATTGCGGCTCCAGTTGTTAAAAACGGCTGTGATCCGGGTGTCCAACGAGATGAGTGGCTTTGTGTAGTACCCAACGCCGGATTCGATCACCAGCGTAATGCTGGGGATCTCAATCACACACTTCTCCGTTTTCTGCAACTGTGATTCATTGCTGCTGCTCTGCTCCACTTCCAGGGCTTCCACGCCCTGCTCCACCTTGGTGAACCAGAAGGTGCGGCTGTGGAAATGCCGCTGATTCCACAGATTCGAATAGTTTCGCGAATCCTCGGCAATGGCAGTCTTGGCCAGGCTGCCAGTGGAGACGCTCACCATTGCCTTGTTCAGCAGCTCAATGGTGGCAGGCGATACGTTGATGATGATGTCGCTCAGCTTGAGGCTAATGTGCATGCCCTCTTCCTCGGGCGTGGATCCTTGCAGGCTAATAACGCATGGATGCAGAATATAATGGCGAGTCATCTCTCGACGCTCCGGCAGAAAAGCGCTCATGTACATCTTTAAAGCATCGATCTGCCCGTTTATGATCTGCTTGTCGTTTATGCTGCGGTAATTCAGATGAACTTGTGCCTGGAAAAGTCAGGGATCTATTAGCTCCTCCAGGAAAATAGCAACCCATCAATCAACTCACATTGAAAATAATACAGCTGGTGTTTAGGTCCTCTAGGTTTTCCACCAATATAATATCTGGTTCGTCAATGTGCAGTATAAGATTCATCTTTTTGTTTGCAGCGTTATGAACTGGATTGATCAAATGTTTTTGTTAGGGGGATTCTTGGCACTTAGTTAAATTTTTGACTTACCGGAAGAAACCTCCGCTGGAACAAGTTCGTTGGCGGCTAACTTTGCGGTTGAGCGAATGGAATGCTTTGCCTCCCGAGCCGTTTCTGCAATCGTGTCGGGCGTCACAATAACAGTATCGCGCGGCGACTCGTCAGGTGGCAGGGTGAGGAACTCAGTCAGTCTGAGCAGGAAGTCGATGCAGACAATCAAGTCGAAGCCGCGCACACGGATCTCAGCTGCAATAATGGACTTACAACATCTGAAAAACATAAATTGCAAAGGTAAAACCCACCAAATGTGTCGTCCTCCTTTATTATGGCAGTCACATCGACCATAAAGTTTCGTTCGTTGTAGCAGGCATCGATGATCTCTTCGGTATCCAGCTTGGGCTGCACCCAATCCTTGCGGCTTAGGTACTGCCGGATCTGACTATTGGAGTTTTTGCGCATGTCGTCCATCTGGATATTGCACAGAACCACCGAAGTGCTCAGGGTGTTGTTGTCCAGCTTTGTGCCCTTGATGGACAGGAAATATATTCCAAACCTGGCGAGTCCTGCGTCTTCAGCTAAAGCCATAAAATATTAGTTGGTAAAAGTATATACAACCTCTTAGATACTTACCCTCCATTAAATTTATAACCACACCATCGAACTGGAAGTTAAACTTGATCGATTCGTGAATCTTCTCTCTTTTTGGGGTAGCTTGGCCCCGAGGTGTGCGGAAACCACCTTGGGAAAGACGTCGATCGGGCTTGTACTTTGGCTCCGCAGGTGCCACTTCGCTTGGAGGGAACTCATCCAAACCCTCGTTCAAGTTGCGATTTAAAATCAACATAACCAAAGCATAATCATCCGCGAAGAGAGTGAGCTGTAAGTTAAGTAAATGTCTTAGCATTAGCTTCTAACGATTTTGAGGAAGTCTCACCTCAATGGACTTTAAGCGACCCGAAAGATTAAGTTCAGGCACATCCCTGTACCAGGTGTACGATAAATTACGGGTCACCAATAAGGTGCAACTCATGGGATTCATCATATTAAATTTAGAGTAATAGCCCACTGCAGCATCCATTTCTATAAAGATAAACATTCGTTTAGTTGTATTCATGGAAAATCAAAATTACTACTCTCACCATCAACTGTCGATTCGTTGCCATCCAAGATGACAACTTTGGAAATCTTAACATCGCAGATATGCAACTTTATCTCGTCTATGACTGCCAGTCGTTCCTCGTTGGCCACCGCCACCTCCACCGTGTTGTTCGTCAGCTCCAACAGACCCAAATCGAGCGATAGGGCGGTTGTGTCCTCGGAGCTAATTGGCACAATGATAATGGGCGCCTTGATGCGGACATTCAGTTTCATGCGCGTGGCCGTTTCGTAGGCATCCATTGCCTTCTGGCGAGCAGACTCCGCAGCCGCAGCACTGGCCTGCGATATGGTGGCCTGGGCCTCAGTAAAGTTGTTCAGGAAGTTCTGCAATACCATCGAGTGTGTTTAGATACATATTAGCCCATTTATTGGTAATTACTTACCAGCACTCCAGCCACAAACCAATTGAGATAGATGATCTTCATACAGCCAATGTCTACAGTTATCTTCATGTCATCGGAGTTGTAGTCTAGGGTCTCCTCTTTGTTGTACAACACCACCTGGCAGTTGAAGGCATCCTTGCCAACAATACTCAGAATCTAGAGAAAGATACAATATTAATTTTGTATCGTTTTCCGAATACTAAGCACTTACATTCTTGTGAATGGTGTAAGGATTCAGGTCCAACACCTGAATGTCTTTCAGGCCAATATTAACTTCCGTGTAGGAAGACTTAATGATCAGACTGGACACGAATTTCTTCACGTTCATCTCGGCCAAGGGTCGCTTTTGGGTGGTGAGCAACAGGCCGACTTCGTCCAGATTTGCGATCACACGAACCTTCACGGTCTCAACGACGCGACTGCGGCGCATATTCTTGCGGCGCTTCATCTGGTTGGTGGTCATTATTTCCTCCGTGTCCTCCAGAATGACATTAAGCTTCTGTTTGATGCCATCGCCACCGCCAATGGAGCCCGTCCGATCACGTGGCCGAGTGGTTGATAGTACAACATCCAGGTTTCTCTGGAAATTGTTCACGACCTCCATGAGCCGCTGTAGGCATTCCTGGTGCAGCACGATCTGGAGCACCTCGAAATTGGCCACCACCTGCTGCTCGGTTGAGTTGTACCTGGTGCTAAACTCTGGCGACGTCTTGTCGGCAATTGTGCACGAGACGGTGAACAGATAGTTGGAGCTGTTTTCCTTTTTCGGCGTGTGGATTACGTCTAGTACTTCCATGTCGCCGTCCTGGCAGCCATACTGCTTTAGGTTGATATCCCCAAGCCTGAAAGTTAAGAAAATAAATATGTAATGCAAATAGCTGATAGTTTCTGAATATACTAACTTGACTGTGGCCAAAGAGTCGTAGGTTCGGGATACGAAATGGGCCTCTAGGCGGCGAATGTCAATGGAGAGAATCTGTCGAGGTGGCGTTAGTGGTGGTCGTTCCACTGGATCTTCAACTGGCGCCGTCACACCCAACTGGGAAGGAAGGATGTCCCCATCGGGAGTGAGAAACTCAATTGACACGTCAGAGCTCGTCTCGCTTATTGTACTGGACTGGAACAAAACGAAGGAGATCTCTCCCAGAGAGAAGTTCACATCCAGATTCGTGTACTGGGTAATCTCGTCGAGCAACGGTGTTTTGGGTCCTGACGATGCCACTGGTCCAATCTTCTTAACTTCCTTGTTGATAAAGTTGGATATGGACATGGAGCTGCGCGAATGCGTCTGTGTGAGCTTGGTCGCCGGCTGACTTTGATCTGGCAGCGGAATGCTGGTGGCCACCCTGATGGCAAGAAAGACGCGATCCTCTGAGACATTGACCAGAATCGCTGGCAGGTCGATGTCCACCTTGACTTTGGGCAGCCGCGGGTCGTTGTCTATCACACACAGTGCGGCAGTTACTTTCAGGGAGACGGGACGCAAAACATGCATCTCCGTTGAGTTGGCCTCCGTAAGCGCCCGTTGCCACGGTTCTCCAGCTCGTACGACCAGCATTTGCACGTCGTTCAGTTCGACCGTGAATCTATCGTAGGCATTTTCCATCACCGTCTTCAGGATCTCATTCTTATCCTCGCCGGCATGGAAGAGATTGTGAAGCTTGGTCCCCTCCTGGCGCGGTTTGGTGGAGACGCGCACCTCGCCCATGCTCACAACTAGCAGCGATGTATTGTCCGTCTCGTAGACGCCCTTATGTGGAACGACCAGGATGTTTGGCATTAGCAAAATGTCCGCATCCAACACCGCCTTCTTGTCGATCATGTACTGCATACCGGTGGCCGAGCGTTCCTTGAAGTTGGAGATTCGCGTGCTGGCCGCATCCTCAAACTTGGAGAGCGTGACATCACCAGGCGGCTGGAAAGCGCTGATTAGTGCCAGGATGGTGGGAGCATCGTACACAATCTGCAGCGGACGGGCCACCACCTTGACGCGCTGATCGCACAACTTGTCCAAGGGGTTCGTCTCGAAGAACACGTCCAGCAGGTTGAACTCATCGGTGATCTTCGACTCCACCAACAGGGGTGTAAAGTCATTGCGTTTGAGTCCCGTCACCTTGAGCTCCTTCATGCCAGCAGTGATGCTTATGGCCTCGGCAGCTGGCCGTTGTGTGATTGACGCTGTGGCCATCGAAAACTTTAAGAGAACCAGTGAGGGAAGGTCATGGTAGTCGTACGATCCCACGGAATGGCCACGCTCATCCTTGTAGAGGCCGACCTCCAGGGCGATCAGTTTAAAGTTCATCTTGATGGCTTGGTAGTTTTCGGGAAGATCCGTGGGCTTGGCATTCTCTTGGTAACCAATTGCCCGGTACATCTTTTCCTTCTCTTCGGCCGTCATCGCCGCTTCGAACTTCTCGACTGGAAGAGATTAATTGAAAGATCGGTTCTTCGTTTCTGAATGCTGTATTACTTACCTAATTTTTGACCGGCTGTCTGATCCTCCTTCTTGGCTCCGCCACCCCATCCCCAGCCGCTGAACCAGCCCTGTTTTTGCTCTGGCACTGCCTCCCGCTCCTTGGCTATCTCGATATTGACCCTCTGCCGAATCAGCAGCAAGTTAAATATATCCAGCTCTGTTTCCAGCAAACGGCAGGTTTCTGTTAGCACAGCTGGTGGTTTTTTGTTCAGGCACTGCTCCTTGTATTTCTAAATTGGTAAATAGGATTACATTTTATTTGTTATATTCTATAATTTATAAATCTTTTTACTCACCTGTGCATAGGTGTTGCATCGTTCACGATGCGTTCTTATGTGTCGCCAAGTCCAGCTCTCTCGAGGCTTCTTTACTTCCTCCTGGAGAACAGAAGTTATTGCAAAGTGCCACCATTCTTTGGCGTGACCTTTGTAGGCTACAGAAAAATACACAAATAAATAACTGAACGATTTAGCGGAAATATTTTATATTTACGTATGTCGTAGGGACGATATTTCCTGTAGGGAATGCCCAACTGCTGGCGATTCATAGCATCTCCGAGCTTCATGAGATTGTCGAACTGTGTGTTGGTCATGCCCACATTCAACTTTTCCATCTCGAGGGTAAGATCGATCTTTGGCCTTTCAAAGGGCGGATCATCGAACTCCGGGTTCATGTTTAGCTTCAACTTGGCATTGCAAGAGATGGGACCCAGTACTGTAATCACAAATTAAAGAATGAGGATATTTCAAACTTAAATAGTTTATTAATATCTACCATAGTTGTAGTTGGGTTTCGCCTCCTTGCTAGCAATATTCGTCTGGAACTGTTCGGACAGCGTGTCCAGGTGGTTTGCGTACAGTTGTCCGCCACAGTTTAAATAGGCGGAGAGGCAGGAGAGATTCGCTATTTTAAAGACCTGGGAAGCTTGCTGGGCCATGTAGGTCTTCTCCCAGTTGCTATCGGTGGTGTAGAGCTCCAGCTCGTGCAGGGATATGCCGAAGGAGAAGGGACTCCCCGTTGTGGTGGTGTCCTCGTAACGCAGATGAACGTTGGTTATCTTCACTTGCAGATTGTTCACGATCTGCGCCGTTAGCTTCTCGGCAAATCCAGCATCGGGTTTGGGCTGATCTATAGTAAAATAAATGTATTATTTCGGATTCGAGGCCTAAAGAAGATAAAAGATTTACTAACCCTTTTCCAACTCCTTTTTGCGAGCAGCTTCCAGGGCATCCAGAGCCGCCTTCTTAATATCCATCTCATATTTGGCCTCCTTCTCCTCATTGTACTGCACATTGTTGTTGGGCGATACCAGGGCATAAAGATCCTCGATGTTCACAACTACAGGCTGGCTGTAGAGGTTCTTCCAGGGAATCTTTAGCACCAGTTTGCCTGTAAATTTGAAATTAATATTATATTCAGCTTTGACTCACTTGGTAATCATCTTCCAGATATAATTACCCAGATATCCGTAGATAAGCTGCACGGGAAGGTCCAAGTCGTCCAGGGCATTTGCCCGTATTTTGAGGTTCTGCAAGACCACATCGCCTGCCAAACAAAGATAGAAATTGCCTCCATTAGTCTTATCAGTTTCAGTAATCAGTCATTGCAGCAGTAGAAGCAAATGCCCATTGATTAATTACTGATTAATTACGAAGGGAGTGCTCAATAACTAAATTCTATACGACGAAGGCCAAGACTTATGGCTTTGAGAAGCACTGTATTAAGTATACGTATATGTACACAAGCAACCTATCAATATTGTTTACCGATGTCTGGCGTTTTGGGCATGCGGCTTTTTTTGCTGTTAAGTGTTTGTTATGCTTGGAATGCAAAATGAGCCGCACAAAACGGTGAATTTATATTGAATTACGCATGTGGGTCAATAGTTTAACGACCAAACAACCCCATTCAGCTTATGCAATCCCCGAGGCGAGGGGTTCTCTACTGATAAGAACAGAGTCTGACTCTACTGACATGATATCTGTCAAATTCACTTAATTCTACAAGTGGTTTTCAGTTATCAACACTCGATACACGGGTATTATTATAAGTTACTCTGATAGCGGCGCTGTAAAAACTGATTAAAGTAGATAACATTAATGAACAACTATGGTCAATAACCTGAGTGTATTTTATAATTCTTGTTCAACTTGTTGATTGTAAAATGAAAACAAATGTGAGTCATTAATCAGATAGACTATTAGAAAAGAACATATGTATATTCATTTGTACATATATTCTCATTGACTTATTGAGGTTAATGTTGATTAGATCAGCTAATTCGGTTTATAAATAAATTGTACAATTTTTAAGGCATGTTTTATGAGTTGGAAAAATTTCCATTTATTATTTACTTACTTAAAAATATAGGTTTGTAAATGTTTCATATCTCAATGGAAATAGCCATTATTGTAATGCAAAAATAAAAAATATGAATCATGTATAATAAATAAAAAATAGGTATTTCACAATTAGCTGATTGTGTACATTGACTTAATGTGTCAAAGTGATTGGATCACATTAGAGTAAAAAAATAAAAAAAGGGAATCTGATAAAAAAAAGTGAGGAAAGAATATGATTTATATTCAGTAAATATTTAGTCGAAGCTTAACTGTGAGCCATGAGCTCTAGACTTCAACAATGGACTTCATTCTACTGCAATTGTCATATTTCTTACTCAATAAATCAAGTAAACGTTATCGGAAGGGGCTTTTAGATTCCTAAAATAAAATGCTAATTAAAGCCTAAATTTAAAAGCCCCCGAGGCCAGCATTAAGTCACCAAGTTCAAGCTCAGCCGAAATATAACAGGCTTGTCACCGAAAGTCACTCCCGACCTGTGTCACATATCTTCAATCAAACCAGTTTGTTTGGCTCGTCGTATAATATTAGACTCGTAAACTTGATACTCTTGTGGTGATCTTGGGCCTCGGGGGTTCACAGCTTATTTATAAAGAGTTACAGACATATATGGTCTGAAATGAGGAATGCGAATGGATGGACAGGCCGATAGATAAAAGACTACAAAATTGTTTACGTTTTCACACAGACACTCGATATAAGTATATTTGTATATAAAAGATAAATAAGCAGAGAGGAAATGAGCTCATGAGGAACAGAGAGAAACCGCAAGAGATGCAACAGTTGTCACACCCATCCAATATTCCTGCCATTTCAGTTCTCTCCCAAGAACTCGAGAGATCTTGCAAATTGTGTTCTCATGAACTTGCGAATACGGCTCATTTACAATCGTGAATGTTTGCCGTGACAGAATTAGGTCACTAATCGTAAGGTCACCGCTGTTTGCGTGCAGATAGAGCAATAAACAATGGGAACTACATTAAAATGATGGATGTGCGTGAGGAAACAGCATAATTGGGTCGTACTTCCCGGGGGATCTGGAACTCACCTCCCCAAATGCCTATTTTCAGCTGGTTGCGGTCCAAGTTCTCGATGTAGTCGCCGAGGACCTTGTTCAGGACATCCGTCACCACCGCCTCGAAGACCATCGTGTCGTCCTAGCAGATGCTCCTATTGATTTTTCTCCTGTTTTATGGTATTCCAATTGATTGAAGCCTTCTTTCAATCACTCTTTCGTTCGTTGTGTGGTCCAAAGTTTTTCTAAAATATACATAAACACCGAAACCAAACAGATGGAACGGTGAAGCGGATTAAAAACACAATGTCGATGATGTCATCGTAGAACGCATTTCTAATGTTTTGGCACAATCCACTAGGCCCATTGTTTCAAGTAACACGAATAAAATGGCGAAACAGGGTGGAGTTTGATAGGTATTTATCAGCTTGTTTCACAACTCCACATGCACGTGTGTCTTATCTCTATTTGCTGCGCCCATTTACCAGCGGCATTTCCATGCAATAACAAAAATAAATCTCCGTGCGACGTGCGACGCGCCGTCGTTGAATGTTCGCCCGAGAATAACAGCTGTTGCGGCATTCGCCACCTGGCGACGGCGGGCAGCATCCATCAGCTGTTCGACCGCGCTTCCCTGCGAATGGCAAGCTGATAGGTGACGTGTTTGGCCCGTGTAAACTGAGGGAAATTTAAGAAAACACCATGCAAACTCGGCTTATTTTGCTGCTTCTCGCCCTGGCGCCGCTCGTCCTGGCCAAGAAGTTCAAGGAGGAGGAGAAACCGGCGTGGGCCAAGAAGGACATTCGGGACTACAGCGAAGCGGACCTGGAGCGTCTGCTGGATCAGTGGGATGTGGGTGATACCGGTTTACGCTTTGAACCCCCATAAATGTAAACCTTTTTTCATAGGAGGATGAAGAGCCGCTGGAGGAGGATGAACTGCCCGAACACCTGCGCCCGCAGCCCAAGCTGGATCTGTCCAATCTGGACAGCAAGAACCCCGAGGAGCTGCTCAAGATATCCAAGAAGGGACGCACGCTGATGACCTTCGTCTCGGTGACCGGCAAACCGACGCGGGAGGAGGGCGATGCCATCACCAAGCTGTGGCAGACCAGTCTCTGGAACAATCACATCCAGGCGGAGCGCTACATGGTCGACGACGACCGCGCCATTTTCCTCTTCAAGGACGGCACACAGGCCTGGGAGGCCAAGGACTTCCTCATCGAGCAGGAGCGCTGCAAGGGCGTTTCCATCGAGAACAAGGAGTACCCGGGCGTCCATGCCCAAAAGGACGAACTGTAGGCTAGTCCTGCGATTTCCATCAAAACATTCTCATACACTCAAGTATTTTTAAGCTCAAAGTTGAACAAATTTAAATAAAGTGAATTTATTGAAAGAGTACCCCTTTTGTTTGGCCATTCGCAGGGCAACGCCGCAAGTATTTGAAAACTAGAAAATGTACAAAATTGCTTTAACGTATTTTTTAATTATTAAATGATTTAAATTTTAATTAACATTGAAATACATGCCAAACCAAAAAAAAAATATAGACAAATTAAACCAAATTCTTTTAACAGCCCCCACAACTCACGCTCCCACCTCTAGAGTTATCGTATCGCTTTTCAAATGTTCCGAGCTCCAGCTCCCCTCTGCGTGACCTCCAGTCAACAAGACGGCGTCCACAAAACGCCATTGGCTCCGCCTGCTCACTAGCTGTTCCACCACAAAGATGCCCGTTAAAGCCAAGATCGGTCCCAGCATTCTCAATGCGGACTTGTCAAACCTGGCGCAGGAGTCCCAGAAGCTGCTGGACAATGGAGCTGACTACCTGCACCTGGACGTGATGGACGGCACTTTTGTGCCCAATCTCACCTTCGGTCATCCCATGGTCAAGAGCTTGCGCAACAAGATCAAGGTGAGTTCGCGGTCTCCAGTGTCGGATATCCACTTACTTACTCTTTTCCATTCCCCCTAGACGGCCTTCTTCGAGACGCACATGATGGTCCAGAATCCGGAGCAGTGGATAGAGCCCATGGCCGATGCGGGTGTCAATCTCTACACGTTCCACATCGAGCCGGTGGAGGATGTGGCCAAGGTCAGCCGCCTGGTGCAGGAATCCGGCATGAAGGTGGGCCTTGCCATTAAGCCGGGAACCGAGGTGAGTTGAGGTTATGTTTTGATACACCCTAATTAGATTGATCTAGTAACTAGAGTTTCTAGAGTAAGAAATGTCCCCAAATAACTTAAAAGGATTACACCCCGAGGTTTCCCAAGTATAATACATCATAAAAATAATTTATTAAGTAAACCGTTACCAGTTTTACATATGCAGGGACCGAAAATAACTGTTATTGTAAATTTTTCTTACCAACAAAAAATCATGCACTTAGAAGAGTCCTAAATTTTTTTTAAATACACCATTATTTTTGTTAGTCATTCTAGTTTACAAATCCACAATGATTTTTATTTATTTAATTTTTATATTAAAACTCAAAAAATAACTATTATTTGTTGATTTTTATGTATAACAGTTATTCCCTTGACATTTAGAAAAAATTAAATAATTAAAAAAAACATGCTAACCGTGTTTTATATAACTTACTAAAAATTAAAAAAAAAACAACCGTGTAAACTTTTATATTTATTATTATATTTATTACTTGCACTTAATAGGTAAAAGAACTGGAGAAGTACATGAGCATTGCCGACATTGTGCTAGTGATGACCGTGGAGCCTGGTTTCGGTGGTCAATCCTTCATGGCTGACATGATGCCGAAGGTGGAGTGGCTGCGCGAGAACTACCCTACTCTGGACATCGAAGTGGACGGAGGAGTGGGACCCAAGACCATCGAGTGCTGCGCCAAGGCGGGAGCCAACATGATCGTCTCCGGAACAGCGGTGGTGGGAGCCTCCGATCAGAGGCAGGTCATCAAGGACATGCGAGAGGTGGTGCAGAGCTACCTCAAGTAAAGATGCTTTTACAAACTGTTTTGGAGCCATAGCATTAAGGAGAATTTATTAGTTAGGCGCAAAGTGTTGACCAAATTGCAAGACCAACGGGGGTAACACAGAAATCTCTTCCAGCCAAAGAGTTTTTTAAGTCACCCCCGGAAGTGATTGAAGTTCCTTGGAAAAACAACCATTAAAAGACATTTACAATCCGATATGGTTTTATACATTTATTTTCCAACATTTATATAATATATGTGTGTAAGTATATATCATGTATTGTATGACATGTTGCTTTTAGCATTTAGTTGGTTATACGTGTTTGCGTGTAGTTTATGTAGTTACATTTAGGATACTGCACTTTCCCAGTTATTGTAGGACATTGCCTTATTGTCATGGTTATTCTCTCTTTGTTTTCCAAAATAAATGTTCAACAATATTCTCTGATTCGCGTCAAAACTTCAAAATCTGAATGTAAAACTTTTCATAAATTCTCAATGCTTCCGATGCGCTTGTCCAGCTCACAGGAAAAAATTCAGTTTGTCTTTTATTGTCAAAGTTTGTTCTTGTAAATTCTTCACAAAGTTCCGTCTGTGCATAAATAACAAGTGCTTCTCATCAAATGATCATCATTAAACATTTACATATAATATTCTGATACGTGAGTACATATACTATGCTTCATTATTTTTGTCGCGACACATGTAAATTCAACTAGTTTGTTTAATCAGCTTCTGGTTTTTGGATTTTGCTACATTTTACACATAACTTTTCGCTACAATTTCTTGGTTTCTTTGGTTTTTAGGGCTTGAGTGTATGTAGTGTCCTCCCAAGCACATGGAGCATGCGGAACTGAATCGAATCCTTTGGGGGCAAGCCCCATTAAGCGCAGAAATTCAACTAGGATATGGGACTTGTGCGATTCTGAGTTTGCGTGTTGATTGTATGCGTATTGTACTTAGTAATTATCTATTCTGCTATTCATGCCACGTGTAAATTATTTCACTCACTCCACTCGCCAATGCTAAGCATTTTTACATCTACAATATGTATAATATATATGGGTTGTGTTCGATTTAGACTAAATGTACATAAAGCTAAGCGTTTTGATAGTAGCCTGGAGCATGGGGTGTATATAAAAATAGCTCGCCATGATCCGTGTGATCGTAAATGCACAGGGGGAGTGAACCCCGGAAAACTGAAAGGGTGAAAAAGTGGCTTACTGTCCAAGGCAACAGCTAAGGAGTCTTCGCCTGAGTTCAAACACAAACTGTATCGAACGGAGGTGTTTCTGAAATCCCCAAGCGGTTTATCACCACCACTTCGGATGCTATGAATTACTCTATTTCCTGACTTGAGACACCTATTGTTATAAAACCTCTGGGGATTTCGGAAACACTCCCATATGTGTATGTTCATGCAGTGCACAATATCGAAGTAAGCATAGTTTCTATGATATGGGTATATCTTTATAAGTATGTATTGTCCTGGATCTGTCCGCTGTACTCCCTTCATTATAGTTAGTAGCTCGATGTAGAACAGCCCACCGATTTGTCTCGAGTATATTCTAAGCTTTCCACTTTCCGCTCTTCGCTTGGTAATATGCATGTATAAATTTAGACACCATCACATCTGCTTAATAGCTACCACTACAATATATATATAGAATATATGTATCCGTTATATGTATATTTCTTGTATATATTTCAGTTACATATTGGTTTGTGTCATGTTCCGCTCAAAGCATCGTGTGCCTTGTGTAATATGCGCTTCATTTAACCCCCCGTTAAGACTAGTAATACTTTTCCACTTGTAAACTGATTGTACAAAACATGCATATATATATATTTAGGCATAATATGTCCAACTAGATCTAGTAGTTATCGGTTATACATTTGCAATCTCTTGTCTAAAGCATTTCAACAGGTTTTAGCTAGAAACGATAGGTTAAAAACATCGAGCCCTTCGAAAACCGTCCAACTTTGGGATCCGGTTCCGACTCGAAAACAATATCAAAGCTGTACACGTCGCGAAGCTCAAGTGTATTTTTGTGTGTACTTTGTGTGTGTGTTGAAACAACCAATTTTGAGTCTTTAGTTACGCGTATTTTACATATATTTTCCTGCGATTCCTCTGCAAAATATTAGTGCTGTTGCACATTAGCATTTTTATCTTTGTATCTAGGGTTACGGATGAGTGGGCATCGCATTACCTTGAGCTTCGACTAAAGCGGCCAGTCTAAGTGGGGCGTGACAAACGAGTTGCGTTGGCGTGTAAATAGTTCTAAATATTAAATTACATTGACATATCCACTATCGAAGCGTGTATACCTTCTGTAGTTCACCGCATAAGTAGCACGATATTTTCGTATGCTATGTGTATAAGTATACTCCTTCGAATCCCTTCTGACTTCCGCCATTTGATATTATACCATTCTTTTTGTGTTCTTTAAAGCTGAAACCCACGCATTGTAGTTACATATTATTTTCATGACTTACAGCTAGATGCAATTATTTGCTTATTGTGCATTTCTCATTATTGTCAACTGCACTTTCTTATTGTTCGATAGTTTCATGGTTGTAAGACAGCATATTGGGAGAGAAGCTTACGGCTACGTCCATCAAATGCCAAAGATCAGCAAATTTTCCTTGATTTTCTGTGGCTTAGATATACATAGTTACACATTTCCTAAAATTGATTTGCTTATTTCCTGTTTTATTTTGTCAACACTCAATAGTTGTGGTTCTACTATTTATACTTCATAATATTTATCTGAATTCCTTCTTCGTTAATCGTAATTTAGTTTCTTGTGAAGTAATACCTATGATAATACAAGTTTCATTTTGACCGGAATTTTTCAACACAAAACTTCAGCTACAAAATCGAATTATTGTCCGGGTTTCGGGGTATTTAGACACAATTATCAATTGGTTAGATATTCGGGTACATGACGGTTATCTTCGTTTTACTTGTAAATATATAAATCGCATATACATTGACAAAGAGTTGCACCCATTTTGGGTTAATTTTTTTCCGCTTGTCTGGGTTATTTACTTCCTTGGATTTTAGGTTCATAAAAATCTCTTTGTAAAAAAATTGACAAATAAATTCGGCAAATTGACACATGATTATGTTGCCCAAATCGGTGTTAGCCGGATGGCCAAAACCCTAAGTTCAGTAGCAAAATATATGTATGCATCCCGCAGGATTCATCGGTTCTGTGTTAGTTTCTGTTCTATTTTAGTACTTTGTGCAATCGTTTCATGGATATGCTCCGGTTTCAGTATTAGTTTTTGGACGCTGTCCTGGCATGGGTAAAGTGGTGGGCCTTGCCCTCGTGCATCGGATCAGTGGCTATTTTGGACAGGATGTCGGGACCACCGGGATGCAGGTCGTACTTGTTCACCCGATCCTCGTTGATGGGCCGCGCATGCTTGGCGATCTGCTCCTGAATCCAGGGCACATACTGCACCACATTAGCATAGACACCGGGCAAACGGGGATGGGCGCACATGATGCCCCAGGAAACGATGCCGCCCACAAACCAGCGATCCTTCTCACCCGGATACGGACACAGCAGCGGACCACCCGAGTCGCCCTGGCATTTGGATTGGGTTTACAAATCTGGTGAGGAAGGGCTACAGTTGGTAGTACTCACCTGGCAGGCATCCTTGCCGCCGTCATCGAATCCGGCACACACCATTCCCTCGGACACGGTCAAGTTGTCCAGCCACTCGTCGCACTGATTTCGCGTAATGATCGGTACTTGCACCTCGTTCACTATGAACTCGTATGTAGACTTGGCTGCGGGTTAAAGTGGTCATTAGGATGATACTTAATCCGGAAACCATGGTAGGTTAACTTACGATCCTTGTCCTCCCGCTTGCCCCAACCGATGACGGTGCACAGGGTGCCAGGATGCAGATTCCTCACGCTCGGCGGCGGCAAACAAACGGGTAAAAGATGCTCATGGAAGGCAACGCGAGTCGAGAGCTGCATTATTAATTAAAATATTAAGAAACCAATTTTAACCTTCGGTTAAAGTCAAACTCACCTGAAAGAGGGCTATGTCATTGTCATGGGCAATGGCCATGTTGTACTGCGGATGGGGAATGACAGCCTTGACCTTGACCTTCTGACCCGAGTAGGTGAAGGAGTTGCGACGCGTTACGCCCAGCTGAATGGTCCAGTCCTCCAAGTCGATCACGCTGTAGCTGCTCAAGCAAACGGGAGTATTAGTGACTAAAGTTGTATCGCTTTCCAAGGCACAACTCACTTTCCCACGCAGTGCGAGGCTGTAAGCACCCATTGATCCGATATCAGGACGCCGGCGCAGTAGAAGATCTTCTCGGGACCACCCAAAATGGCGGCCAAGAAGGGCCAATTTCCGGGACTAGCTTGGGTTCCTCCTATGATGCGTCTCGATGGCTTGTGCCTGCCCCGCTTTACTCGGCCGCACTCTGAAATAAATGTTGGTAGTGAGTAGACATCAGAAAACCTTCTCTCGATCTCCCTCGTAGGCCAAGTTCAAATTCTTTAAATTGAAATAAAGTGTTCTCGGTTACCGAGACTTCTTTCATATCGGAAAACCAAATCAAGGTAACTTTTATCTCTATTTCAAGGTCGCCGTAGAAAAATCAAGAGTTCTTTCGCCTTGATTTGTAGAACTTTTCTTCTCCGTTATAAATAAGAATATTTGCTTTCTTTCCATTCTTAATTTTTCTTGGATCTACTCACCATAATTAGAGCACGTGAGCTCGGCTATCGGATAATCCTCCGTCTTCTTGCAGTTGGCGAACTCTTGCATCAAGGTGGACTTCCTTTTGGCGTACATCTTCCAAATGTCGGTGGACACATTTACCGAAGCGAGAAGCGGACGTTGAGTACGTAGGGTCAGGACACTGGTGGCATTCACGGCCGAATAGCCCAAAATGGAGCAGACGGCGCTGGGCGAGACTGCTCGATCCCAGTTCTTCACACAAGCGGGCATCCACTGATGACCGATGCGATAGACCTCCAGAACACCGGTGCCCACATCGCCGTTTCGTTCACTTAGTCTTACTGTTAATGTTTGGAAAAATAGTTAGCTTCGAACAAGATTGAAGAGCTCCCAACTCACAGCAATTGCGCTCATCCTGACCGTAAGGGCAGTCGATTATCCCATCGCATATGTGCTTGGTGCCGATGCACTGGCTGTCACCGCAGTAGATCTCCTCCGGACCGCACCGTTCGCACCTGGCCTCGTCCGCCTGGTCCATGCAGTCCAGGTGGCCATCGCACACGTACTCCTGCGGCAGGCAGCGGTTCTGGTCGCACTGAAAGCCATCGCACTTGGGATGCGTGGCTGCTTTCATCACCTCGCGCACCTCATCCACGCCCACGCAATCCTCGGGACTGGGAAAGTCCTTGAAGAGCTTGCAGTTCAGGTACTCGGGTAGACTCAGACCAAAAACGTCAAAAAAGAACCCGCAGCGACGCATCGTCTCCGTGCAGAGGGTCTTACAAGGTGGCACAGTGGCGCTGGAAGAGATCATAAATATCATCATGAAAAATGTTTTTGATATTTGGAATGGTAAGATCATAATTACTTAAAAGGAACTTTAATATTCGGAAAGGTTACCCAAAATATATTTAAAATTTATGATTTTATGGTTATTCAAACTGTGGGTAAAAATGAAAGGAAATGTGGTATTCAAAATGTTATGCAACATTACTCACCCGCTTTGTCCGCACTTGGGCACAAAAAGCGTGCAGAGAAACAGGGACACCAGCTCGTAACATCTCACATCGACCAGCGCCTCATAGGAATCCAAATCCTTTAAGGAATTTGAGTTAATACAAAATCTAATAAGTATATTCCCCCCTAATTACCGTTTGCGTCTCCAGCTGCCCAAAGTGACCGATATAATTGGGAAACACGGTGTAGTTGTAGGGGATCTGGGGACCCTGGCAGAACCGCACAATGATGGGCAGGCAAGTGCCCGGGGCTGGATTCTTGCCGAAACTCGTGGTGTCCTCCACATGGATCGTATTGATGATGGTCTTGTTCACAAACTTAATGGTCGGATAGGCATTGAAATAGGCAGCCAGTCCGCCGGCGATAGCCAGCAGGGCGAAGGCGTTGATCAGGATCTGGAACAGGCGGAACTTCAAGCGGCCGTTGGTGATGTACGGATTGGAGCTCTTCCGTCGGTTGATGATCTGCAGAGAAGGGAGAGATTAAATACGATCTCAGAGTGGCTGCTCCTTCAATTTACCTGATGCTGCAAGGACATGGTGTGCGGTGCTCCATTCTGGAAGCGCACGATGGTCTGCAGACTGCTGGGCTGGCCAGCCGTCTTGTGGAGCGGCGAGATCGTCTGCGGCGGCTCCAGCTCCTCAATGGGCTCGTGCTGCACTCCCTGGCGGCACACAATTGGAGCTGGGGCTAAAAAAGGGGGGAACAACTGTAGGATTCATAAAGATTTGATAGAATTAACCATTTACCACTGCACAATCGCTTGGCGGACAACGAGGGCAGCAGCGGTGCCTCCATGAGCTTGGGATTGTAGCCCGGACTCGAGGTCTGGCTGAAGCTGTCGCTCGAGATGGTCGAGTCCTGCCTGAAGTTGATCTTGCCCCTTGGCGGCGGCACTGCTGGCGCCTGCTTGCCACTTCCACTACCTCCGCTTAAAAATCGCGTTGGTGCCAAATCCATGAGGGGCGTCTGTCGCTGTGCCGAACCAGGAGCATTGGACTTGCGTCCCGAGCCCAGCAGCGGAGCCTCCATCAGCTTGGAATTGTAGCCCGGACTGGAGCTGATCGAGTAGCTGTCGCTGGACAGCGTGGAGTCCTGGCGCTGCTGCATCCTTGGATAGGTGATGGGCGGCGGCTTGTTGTTGCGACCCAGTTTATTCCTTACGGTCAGCGGAGGCGGCGGATGACCCCGCGAGCCCATCTCCCCCTGCTCAAAGACATTGGCCTGACGCAACGGTGGCTCCGGAGGCCCTGGACGTTTGGTATTCGACTCGTTGGGTGGGCATGGCCCGGACAGGGAGGACATGGTGCCACTGGAAATCGTGCTGGATCCTGCCGAGGCGGCGGACGAAGTGGAGGCCGAAGCCGAGACGCTGCTGGGTTCCTTGGAGCTCTGAGAGCTCTGGCCATCGCCCATCGAGTTGTTGCTGTTGCCGCTGCTTTTCAACGGAGGCGGTTGCTTGCGGGCAGGAACCGCTGGCAACTTGGAGCCATCGGATAATCCTCCGTTGTTATTATTACTGGCCGGATAGAGGGCCAATCCCAGGCTGGTATTGTTGTTGTTCAGCTTGTGCATGGCATCGTTGAGAACGGTTGTTCGCTCCCTGTACGCATCCCTGGTATCTCTGGCCAAAGGTGAGTCAATCGAGCTGGACAGGTTCTTCTCGTCCAGCGAGGACTGCGTGTCCACCGAGGAGAAGCGACTGCGAAAGTCCACGCTGGTCGAGCTGCTGGCGAAGCGCTCGCTGTGCCCGCCCAGCGATGAGCCGTAGGCCGAGTCCACGGTGCTGCTGGAGGAGCGCTGCGCCCGCTTGGCCATGTGGCCCATGCCCGAGTAGCGACCGGCCAGATAGCCGGCGACCTTGACGGGCGTGGAGGTTAGCGACTCGTCGAACACCGAGTTCTCCAGACTCATGCGGTCGTCGTCGGAAATCCCATCGGCATCCGCATATCCGCATCCGGTCGCAGGACGTGTGGCTATGTCAACAAGCAGCGCTGATTGCAGCCCGGCCACTCCTCCTCCTCCTGCGTCGCCTGATCCCCGAGCCACTGCCTCTGCGGTCACGTTTGTTGGCTGCGGATAGACAAACACCGTGCCCGTGCCGTGGGCGCCTTCCTGTCCGCCAGCCGAAAGGGGCAGGGGCAGTGGATTAGGAAGTGGGTGGGGCGTTGACGCCTGCCAGGCGGACTTGCCGCGCAGCAGACGACGCGGAATGGGCGGCGGAGGCGTCACTGGGGTGTCCACCCGCACCAAGTGCTGCTGCTGCTGCTGGTGGAACTGCCTGCCTCCTCCTCCTCCTCCGATGGCCATGGCCCCCTGGTGCGCTGACTGGCCATATTTCTGCTCCGTCATGTTTACCTGCCGGCGGGAAAATGAGAAAATTGGAGGGAAAAAGAACTGAGAGATATGACTGGGCGAATACAGTAGAAAGTCGGACGGGGGAATTGCATAAGAGCAAACATGAACAATTATTAATTTTCCCAGAAATTGTGCATTTTTTTTGTCAATGAAAACTGCGCAAATTTCATATTGAGGATATTTATTAATAAAAATCCGCTTTTCATTAACTTTGTGATTGCCTTCATGCGCTTATGCAAATAACTGCAAAAATGGATTTTAGAGATGGATATTAACCTTTTTATGATTTTATATTTGCTTTAAACACTTTTTCAGATATTGCAAATGTGATTAAAAAAAAAAGAAATATTTATCAAAAACGAATCATTTCCTCCAGAAAATGTGCACTTTTTTGTCAATGAAAACTGCGCAAATTTCATATTGAAGATATTTTTTAATGAACATCCATTTTTTAATACTTTGTGACTGGCCCTATGCGCTTATGCAAATATCTGCAAAAATGCATTTTACAGATGGATATTAAAATTTTGATGAATTTATTTTTGCTTTAAACTTGTTTTAGATGTTGCAAATGTGAATAGGAAAAAAAAATATTTATCAAAATTGCTTGAAATCTGTTTGTTAAACAACTTTTTAAGTAACAATGAAAAGGCTTAAGACAGTTTTTACAATTATTAAAACACTTCAGTCGTAATTATACATTTAACATTGTTCGCCAATTAAAAAAAACAGTCTAAATAAGTGGTTTAATTCCCTATTTTAGAGTAGGGAATTTTGGTTCTCTGTTTACTCCTTCGATTTTCCACTGTGGCAATATTATCCTGCGGCAATATTCTGCAATTTAAGCCACTGCCAGGTGCAGAGGGGTTTGGTGGGGAGTGGCAGAGACTAAGCCCTCGCTAAGCCGAGTGCAGAAATGTCGACGCGGCCCCGAAAGGTAAAAAGCAAATATAACTTGGTGGGGATTTGAGGGCCAGGCCCTGCTTCAAAATGAATCCGGAACATCGAAATGGTTTTCGCTGCCGTCATCATCGATCTTTTGAGTCATGCTAAAGCCAGAGAAACTTTACGGAAATCTCCATGATATTAAACTTTACAGGAAACTCTGCTCTCTTCAATGTCACGGTAGCTCTGCATAATATTTTTGGCATTAAATCGTTAGTGGATACTAAATTTATTAAACGTTGTTTGTTTACGCGTGCGAAATGCAGCAAAAACGGTAGAGTGAAATCCCCGCTAAATGCCATAATAAAATTGCATTGGGGGAAAATAAAATATTTTCCAGAAAATCCTTTCGGGTTTTGCCTTTTGACTGCTGCTATTTGCATACCGCATTTTAATGAACTGCATTTTGCGCGAACTTTTAAAAGTAAATCCCATAACTGGTTTAAAGTAGGTAATTACAATTTTCCCACAAAATACATTTAACTTTTCTTTTTTTCATGAACTACAATTTCGTTGTAATGCAATTAGAGTAAGCTTTTAAGGGAGCTTAACCCTCAACGAAACCATGGAGCAGTGTTTAAAGTAATTTTAATTAACTTTCGTAAAGGGGGATTGATCGTTTTTCTTTTAGATCCTGTAGGTAGTTCGAGGGATGTCCCATCTAATTATTTACCTATCTACTTACAAGCATTTCGGTGGCTGCCTGGGGCAGCTGCGACGGCTTCTGCTTGTCCTCGAGCATGGGATAGTAGTGGGAGGAGTGTCGCCGCACGATGTTGCTGTTGCTGCTGTTGCAGATGTTGTCGATGTTGCTGTTGCTGGGCAATGGCAGCAGGGTGACCGACTTGCACTGCTCCTGTTGCTTGTCGTAGAAGTCCAGCAGGGAGTTGAGGGGCAGGGCCAGGCTCGAGGCACGCTCCGATCTGGAATGATAACTCATTACACATTACCATCTGGTAGTTAAGAGGGGAATATCAATGGTCTCACCTTGAGCGACTCCGCTGGTCTGCCACCGAGGTCGTCTGATGCTGATGGTCCTGCGAGACGCTCAGAAATTGTTTATTCATATCGAGTGCGTTCATGACTTAATCGAAGCGATTTGGCGGAAAGAATCTGCAAGTTCAGGCGGGAAATCGGATTGGATTAATCGGGCTGTGATCCGCATGCGAATAGTGCCGGGCCCTTTTTGTTTTACGCCGGCGTTGTACATGCCGTGCATACTAAAAGAGAACTGCTCTTTATGGGAATACTGAATACGGAATATGGAATACCCATGCAAATAGCTGCGGGGCCCTTTGGTCACAGGAATCGAAATCAATTACACAATGGCAACGCACACTCGCACACTTTCAAGCGCACACGTGACAATAGATCGCACAAAAAGTCCTAGTAAATGCAGCCTGTGAGCTGGGTTTTATGTGTATTATTTGAATATGCCATATACGTATATCGATGCCATCGGAGTAGGGCCAAGCAATTTGGTCTTTTGTGTCTAATGGATGCCATTAGTCGGCTTGCAGAACAAAGGACTCTGTAACCCGAAACCCCCCGGATCCCCTTACCAAATCCTGATGTTCATATTGTGTGGCCAAAAGCGTATTTAGTAACTCTGCAGCGAAGATGACAATGGAAGTTAGTTGGTTTCAGAGCCCATCGGGAACGGGTTAATAAAGTTAGTTAATTAAGATGCAGCATCAGAGAGGAAAAAATGTGTGTGACTGCGTTTGGATTTTATTTAATTTATATGTATTCTTATTATTATCAACGAATACCATATAAAGATAGTAACAATCCGAGTTTTAGGGACGTGTAAGGTATTTATTCTAATTTAATATGGAAATCAAAATGGGGATTTAAAAAAAGGTTTACATAATGCGATGGCACAGATGAAAATAAATAGCGCCTAAAATCGCCTGCTATAAATAAATTTGGAAGATAAATTGAAAAAAAGTTGTGTCATACCAAAACTATTAGGTAAATTTCTAACAGTTCCTTAGGTAAGTCAGTCCCAGGTAATAATATAAGCAAAATGCAAAAATGTACGCCAAATAATTCCACAAAATGCTTTA